CCATTGAGTTGGTGATGCCATCCAACCATCTCATCCTCTGTCGTGCCCTTCTCCTCCCGCCTTCAATCTTTCCCAGCATCAGGGTCTTTTCCAGTGAGTCAGCTCTTTGCATCAGGTGATCAAAGGATTGGAGTTTCTGTTTCAGCATCAGTCTTTCCAATGAATATTCAGGACTGATTTCCTTTAGGATGGACTGGTTGGATCTCCTTGCAGTCCAAGGGACTCTCTGAAATTATGTAAGCAAAAATGTTAAATGAGGGACTTCCCTGGTGGCCCAGTGGTTGAGTCTGTTCTCCCCTTGAAGACAGCATGGGTTCCATCCCTGGTCAGAGAACTTAAGATCCTGCATGCCACATGGCAAGGCCACATGGCAAGCTGGGGAAACAGTGGCAGACCTTATTTTGGGGGCTCCAAAATCACTGCAGATGGTGGCTGCAGCCATGAAATCAAAAGGCGTTTACTCCTTGGAAGGAAAGTTATGACAAACCTAGACAGTATATTAAAAAGCAGAGACATTACTTTGCCAACAAAGGTCTGTCTAGTCAAGGCTATGATTTTTCCAGTAGTCAGGTATGGATGTGAGAACTGGACTATAAAGAAAGCTGAGTGCAAAAGAATTGATGCTTTTGAACTGCGGTGTTGGAGAAGACTCTTGAGAATCCCTTGGACAGCAAGGAGATCCAACCAGTCCATCCTAAAGGAAATCAGTCCTGAATATTCATTGGAAGGACTGATGCTGAAGCTCCAATACTTTGGCCACCTGATGCAAAGAACTGACTCATTTGAAAAGACCCTGATGCTGGGAAAGATTGAAGGCGGGAGGAAATGGGGATGACAGAGGATGAGATGGTTGGATGGCATCACCGACTTGATGGACATAAGTTTGAGTAAACTCTGGGAGTTGGTGATGGACAGGGAGGCCTGGCATGCTGCAGTCCATTGGGTCGCAAAGAGTCAGACACGACTGAGTGACTGAACTGAACTGAACTGATACTTTCTGATGCTCAACTGTCCACAGTATGGACAGGCTGTAAGACAACTCCTAGGTCCCGTGAAATGTTCCATCGTTCTTGGCGTGTTCTTTCTGGCCATCTGGTGCAATGCCAATGCATTTAAACAACCTTGAAGTTAGTACTTATTGAGGGCCTACTGTGTGCTGAGCTGAGTCCTGAGGATGCAGTAGGGAGCAGGGTAGACACAAGCTCCTGCCTTAGGAGCTGAAGTGTGGAAGGGTGTGCAGCTGTGGGAGGAAATGTGACCTTGGAGGAAATCGTGAACTATATTCTACATATGCAGAAAATCAGAATCCTGCACGTGTTAGTGAAGGCACGCCCGTGTCAGCAAGGGAGCTGGGGGCTTAAATCCACAATGTGACTTCAAAGTTTCACTTTACGAGACCATATCTGGTTGTCCTCAGCCCATTGCTGGGCCAAGCCACAGGGCCCTCCCAGGTCCACAGGGGCGGGGAGCAGGGGGGGACATGTGATTCATGGGCCAAATCCCTCTGCCTTCAAAGTCTCCCATACCACCTGCATCTTTCTAGTACATCACGGCTTTATTTTCCACCCAGAACTTGCCCTGCCTGCACTGAGTTTGCCCACTCCACCCTAGCTGCACACCCTTCCACACTTCAGCTCCCGAGGCAGGAGCTGTTGTCTACCCTGCTCCCTGCTGCATCCTCAGGGCTCAGCTTGGCACACAGTAGGCCCTCAATAAGTACTGACTAAATAAGGTTCAGGCTTATTTAGGTGGCGCCAGTGCTAAAGGACCCACCTGCCAATGCAGGAGACATGGGTTCGATCCCTGGGTTGGGAAGATCCCCTGGAGGAGTATTCTTGCCTGGAGAATCGCATGGACAGAGGAGCCTGGGGGGATACAGCCTAGAGGGTCACAGAGTTGGACATGACTGAAGCGACAGCATGCACGCACACTCACACAAATACAGTTCAAGTTCCTATTGTGCTGAGCCCGTGGAGGGCCCCACATCCCACCCCAGGGTAAGGGCTAACCCTGGTCGCTAGTGAGGGAAACAAGGATTTATTGAATCAAATTATACCCGCAGGAGCAGATTTCCACTTGAAATGAAACCACACAGAATCTGAGCTTCCCAAGCACAAGATGCTGTCCTTGCAGAAGGAGCCGTCCCCGCCCTTGCAGCGTGCATGACCTGAGCTGTCAGCCCCGAGCTGGCTCCTGCCTGGGAAAGGCTTAAACGAGATGACCTCAGAAGGTCCCTTCCTGCTCTGAGTTCTCAGGGTCTACACATTCTGCTGAGGTCAGCTGGCCATGCAATGTCATGGTTTCCCCAAAGACTGACCACAAGGCAGAGACCCTCATGGGAACAGTGGTCCTCCCCCCCAACACCCAGTAACAGCCCCCCGGGTAAGGATGGCTGGATGCAGAGGCTTTCCACTGGGTCAGCCGGAAAGAAGGGGGACAGAACTCAGAAAAGACGCCAACCAGAGAGAGCCCACCCCCAATCCGGGTGGACCCGAGGCACTCCATCCTTTTCCAGGAGTGCTCGCTGCCTCGCCCCAGACAGCATTTCACCTTGCCCAGCCACACCCCGGACCCCTCCGTCATTGTGCTTCTCCCTGGGAATGATCCACACGCTTGTCTCTCTCTCCATGGCTGTTGTCCCTGGCTACTTGGACAAGCCCTCGAGGAACGTCCCCGGAACAAGACCAACCAGAAGACCCCCCTGGGACACAGGGCACTGTTGCTGGCCTGAAAAACTGCTGCAGGACGAAGCTTTAGCCTCATCAGTACTAATAGATAATCCCATCCAAGTAAACCACTGGGAAGACAGACTTAAGGAGCTGGCGATTCACAGCAGGCTTCTCACGCTCAGCACCAGTGGACCTTTTGAGCTGGGGGAGCCTTCCTGCGTGTCCTGGAATGCTTACCAGCCCCCTGGGATCACACCCACCACCTGCGCCTCCCCACCTCCTCCTGTTCCACAACCCAAACTGTGTTCTGATGTTGCCAAATATGAGGGCTGGGGGTGGTGGAGAACAACCACCTTCATCAGTATTTTAAGGAAGGGAGCAATAAATATGGTGACAGTCAGGGGCTTGCTTCCGTGGTAAAGAATCCGCCTGCCAATGCAGAAGACGTGGGTTTGATCCCCGAGTTGGGAAGATTCCCCTGGAGGAGGAAATGGCAGCCCACTCCAGTATTCTTTTCGGGAAAATCCCATGGACAGAGGAGCCTGGCGGGGTGCTAGTCCACGCAGTCATGAAGGGTTGGACACGTCTGAGCAACTGAGCACACTTGCCCTCTGGAAAACTGTGGGTTCGTGACGTCGCCAGCAGTCACATGGGAACAAAGCCAAACGTGAACTCAGGTCTTTCTCCAAAAGCCCAGGATCTTTGCAGCAACAGCTTATCACTTTCAGCATGTTTAAAGTGTTGCTGCCTCCCTCCCCAGGCTAGCCGCACGTTCAGTCACCATTTTCATTCTGACGAGGAGAAAAGTTCGATGCACCTGAAGTATCCCATGACTGCTGCGGGGAGGGTTGACAGCAGGACCAGCGTGAAACCCCGGTGATCTGGCCCCGCTGGGGGTCACCTCAAGATCCCTGGCCCCGAAGGGTAGGGAGGGCACCAGAGCCCTGTAGCAGCTTGTGCCACTGGCCACTGGCATCTCTCGCTTGGGTTTGGAACCAGGCGCCTGGGCAGACTCGCCTGCTCTGTTCATCACTGTGACTCAGCCACTGTGAGCCGCCAGCCTCTGCTCCTGCCCAGGAAACCCTTGGTGCAGCACCCCGCCCCGGGGACCCTTCCCGCCCAGGACGCAAGCTGGCTCCCCCCTCGTCCGTCGGGGAAGCGGGGCTGTGCTGGTGTCATGGGCCCAGCGTGACGGCTAAAGGCTCAAAAGAAAGCCAGGCACCCAGACAGAGGCAGCGGCCTTTATTGGGGTAAACCACCACACGCCATCCGGAAAGCCGGCTCCCGCCGCCAGCCCGCAAGATAGGTTGACAACACAGCCAGGGTTTCAGTGGCTTTTATTTAATACCCAGAAATCCAAAGTAAACACCGCTTAAGACAAATCAAAGACACGAGGATACTGGCACGCAAATTGGGCAAGAGGATTTGGCTGCTTTAAAACAACACAGCTCTTGTGTCACATCCAGTTAGGACCTCAGGGCACGTGGGGCTCTGGGCTCAGCGCTTCATGATATCGTGTTCGAGGGGGAACCAGAGCTGCAAGCAGGCGCCCCAAAACCAGTGGAGGGGAGGGCATGCAAAAGACAGGCCATCTGGAGAACAATAAGAGGAGGCATTTCAGGACCTTTACCCATCACGGCATGGGCACCGATGAACTTGTTTTCACTTAGCTCCTGTGGATGAAGGTCCCTCTTCGGGGCAAAGTGGGGGCGGCCATTCACTACAAATGGGAATCAGTGCAGGAGGAAGGTTTCTAGAACTTTCCTCATTTAAGGACTAAGAGGGAAGCTTTTGCTGTCCAAGGAACTCCCAGCAAGTGTCAAAAGAAAGTAGTTTCTGTTGCTGCAGTTTCCCCAGAAGATGCTGCAGTGTGTGGGCCTCGCAGCGGGGATGTCCCAGGCCCTGACACTCACGTCCTGACAGCTGTTGTCCCCAACCCACCAGGGTCAACAGGTGGATCCCAAGAGAAGGAATCTAGCCACTGCAGAGGTCACCCTGGCTTCAGCCTCAAAACTGCTTCCCAGCCCTCACCCCACAGACGCTTTCAATTCGGGTTCAGTCCAGACAGCGGATGGGGAGAATGAAGCGGATGGCCCCAGGGGGCCTGCACAGGTGGGCGGAAGGCACGCCCACGCCTTCTCGCCGGTTTTGAGAAAAAGTAATTTGGAGACCAGACGACATGCTTTGCTGGAGCAGGGCTTTAAAGAGTCAGCATTACGAGATATAAGTGCCTGTCTATAGGTTTCCCACATATTTATGCTTCCTGTTACTCTCCTGCCTAAAACACAAGAGGGCTTGAAGTGGGCTCACTGCCCTGGGAGTTGAACCCCATCACCACCTCCCTCCCCAGAAGAACCAATGCCCCTCACCCTGACCTTCAGGGTGTGGAAACAGGCCGGCGGCGGGGGGGTGGTGCTGCCCACCTGGGCTGAAGACCCCAGGCTTCTTTCCAAACGTCGGCTTCCCCTCCTTCACCCCCACCCCCACCCCTGCAGGCCCCCAGGAATTGGCATCACCCCTCCAGGCCCACGAGCGCCCATGGCAGGTGGAGGGGCCTCCGCCTCCCTGGCACCGTGGATCCACGCGTGTAATGAAGGCGGCACAGAACGTTCCAGCCTCAGCTATTTTGTCAATGTGGATCTTTAATGTCACCGCCTCCCGCAGGAGACGCCATAATGCCGTTTTAATTATTTCTTTCCCCCGCTGGGTAACCTCCTCCATCAAATTGGCTATTCTGAACCCGGCCCCAGGCTGGCAGCCGCCTGACCCCAGGCGGAAGAGGCAGCTGTGCTTTAAGTCCTGAGCACTGGTACGCAATGTAAGAGTAACGACGTGCTCAACAGCTCTGACCTGCAGCGGGAAGGCGAATATCACAGAAGAGAAAGGCCCATGTTGCCAGGGTGCTGAGCAAACCCAGGGGGTCCAGCCAGCCCAAGAACCCCGGCTCCGCAGGGAGGTGGGGGTGACCCGGTGGAGGACCTGCCCGCGACCCAGCCGAGGGGTGCCCCTTTCTCTCCTGAGACGAGGCAGGCGACGGGTGAAGGGCACGCAAATGAGGGATCGCATTTCCTTCAACAGGGCGTCCCAAGGATGCCACAGGCTGCAGAAAGCTGGGACTGGCGGAGGACAGAGGTGAACACTGCACCTCCCCTCTCACAGGCTGAGCTGTGACCCCCCCACCCCAGAACCCACATATTGAAGTCCTAACCCCCAAGACCTCAGAAGGTGACGGTATTTGGGGACAGGGGTCTTCACAGAGGTAATTAAGGTACCATGAGGCCATTAGGGTCCACCCCAATCCGGTCTGCCTGGTGTCCTTGTAAGAGATGAGACACACAGCGGGGAGAGGCGTAGGAAGCGAGGGAAGACGGCGTCCGTCTACAAGCCCAGGAGGATCCAAAGGCACCCGCTCTGCTGACACCACCGTCTCGACCTCCAGCCTCTAGAACTGAGACAATAAATGTCCGGGCTCTAACCCACCCCCCAACCCAGGCACTCTGTTACAGCAGCCCCAGCAAACTGAAACACCCTGCTTTCCAAAGGTTTTTGGAAAGGCATCCATCCTCAAACAGAGCCTTTGGGATTGGAGACTTCCCAGCGGAGCTGTCTCCAGCTGCCTTTTAGAGCCAGCTCCGACACAGCCCACTCAGCCGCAGCAAGAGATGAAGAAACGCTTCAGAAACACTTCCTCCCACGGACCGTGGCCACTGGGTCTGCTGGGTCCCAGACATCTGCACAAAAGCGAAATGCAAACTGCACGGAGCGGCCAAGGAACAAGGCTGTGAGTGGACACTCCGGTCGCAGCTGAGGCTTCCGGGAGCTCAGAGGGAATTTTTTTCAAACAGCAAAATGCATGTTTTGTAAAAAGGCCTGGCTGCCCAGGAGAGTCCCGCCCAGGAGATGCCACCAGGACAGTCAAGCCATCGCCCCTGCTGCAACGCTGCCGTGCATTTCTGACGACTTGTGATCGCTGGCGGCTGTCAGCTGGAATGCCAGGCATCCCTCTGACGCCTCCCAGGGGCTGAGGGTCAGGGTTCCGGGTTTTTTTTTTCTTTTCCATCTTTTGATAAACAAGAGACTTGGCCCCCTGTGGCACCCCAGGTGAGGCGAGGCTGCAAACTCACAAAGCATTGGTGTTTGGAACCTGCATTTCTAAGGATGCTGCCCGCTGTGGAATTACAGGGGAAGGAGGTGAAGAGCATCTACCAGAAACAAAAAGTGGGGGGGGGGGGTGGGGAGCAACCGCGGGCTGGGAGGGGAGGCCAGGGCACCTCCCGAAGAGTGGTCCCCCCTGAGGTCTCTGCTGCCCATTGCTGTCACTCCAGGTGCTTGTACTTGGTGAACAGGTTGTAAAGAACCCGCAGGGTGGATTTGAGGTCCAGGTTTACCACATCTGCAGAAGGAAAACAGAGAAGCCACAGCGGGTGAGAGAAGGTGCCCCAAGTCCTGGTGCCAACACCTGGGAGACGTGGGGGATACCATTTATGTCCCCCGCAGAGCACTCTTGCTGTCCCCGCCACTCACAGGCCGCTGCCCAAGCCCCCAGGACACCACCCCGCGGGATGAGCCCTGGGATGGCGAGGATTCTCCTTCATCCCTTCCAGGATGGGCCCAGACAAGTCTGCGTGGTACAGGGTCTAGGACAGCCAAGGACACATACTGGGGACCGCGGGCCATCCTGCAGGCCTCCTGGGGCAGGGCAGGCGGCAGCCGCGGTCCTACCCCCTCGAGGTCAGGACCAAGGTGTGGCCCAGGAAGTCCAAGCACCTTGTTTGGTGGGAAGGGGCCCTGTCCCCCTGGAGGTCGGGCACCTGGTTCTTCTCCTCACTTGCTCTCTGAGCTGTGACAAGGGCTTGGGGAGGGCTGCAGTTCATGGGTGACGGGACAGAAATCCTGTCCTGGATGGGTGTTTTACAGTGACTGCTAGGCCTCCCAGGGGGCGTGGGTGGAGGCTAACGAGGATGCCCCACCCAGGATTCAAGCTGTCACTGTCGGGCGGGGATCCAGAAGCACTGGGGTCACCTGCACACTTGTTATAATCGGGACTTGGAGGGCCCACGCCACAGCCCCTGGATTGGAAGATGCTTTGAGAAGCACCCCTCCCCCCGCCACCCCAGGGCTTCAGTTGCCCGCCCGATTCCTGGTGGAGGGCATTTAACACAGGAGTCAGCGCGGCGGCGAGGGGGCCTCTCGCTGGGGCTCCGCTGGCCTCCACTGCCGTGCAGATCTCTCAGGCCATGACCGAGCCACGGCCCGGCTCACGAGCACCACCGGGCCACCAGACAGCGACCGACAGGCGCTGGACTGCAGCCAGCCCTAAGCATCCTCTCAAGACGTTAGGCAGCGTCTCTGGTCTGAGCACGGGCACCTGGTGGGCAGTGGAGCCCTGAGGCCGTGGGGCAGAGGCCACGGCCTCCAAGTCAATGCTGACTGAAGAACCGGCCTTGCTGGCTTCGCCAGAACAGGACTCTAGGTCCCCGAAGCCCCGAGGGCAACAGGGAGCTGGGGTCGGCAGGGCCCGGCCTTTGAGCCACACGCTCAGGGCCTGATGGGAGAGACCCGGCCGGTCCCCTAGCCCCTCGAAGACCCGGGTAAGGGTGTTACCTTCAGGGCGAGCCTTGGGCTTCTTAAGGCCTCCGTCCAGCATCAGCTCAAAGGCAAACGACACGTTGTGGACCTGCCAAAGAAGCCAGAGTTAGCGCCGGGGCCGCAACTGGTCCCAGGCCTGCCCACTGCCCCCACCTCCACCGATTTTTTTCCAAGGGGATGGAAACAAGTGTGGACAGCGGGAGCCTTTGGAATAACTCGGCTCACAAGGACCAGGGGTGCCCAGGGCAGGACCCAGGGTGGGCAGAGGGAGGGGGAGGGAGTCTGCTGAGGGCAACACACATCCACTGAGTGGTCCTCACTCCCCTTCCCAGAGATGAGGGCGTGGCCGGGAGACGCAGGAAGGAGATGAGGGCAAGAAGCTGCCCTGGGGGGTTGGGGGTCCCCAGGCCCCGACACGCCCACGTGAAGACAAGTGATGGCAGCTTCCTTTTACAGCTGAGGACCTGAGGCTCAGAGAGGGCAAGTCACCTCCGGAAGGCATCTGGCCCCAGGCCCTGTCCCCAGCACACAGCAGTCCCCTGCTGTCTGTCAGAAGGGCCTCAAGCCAGCCGAGTGTGACGGCGTGCCCTCAGCAGGGGTATATCAGTAGCCCTGACCCAGAGCAGGGGCCGTGGACGCTGCTGGAACTGAAGTCAGGCCCCTGGTGGCTGTTGCATGGCCCTCAACCTGCACGATGCCCTGGAAAGGTGGACACATCTGCACTCGGTCCCAAGGAGGCTCAAAGTTTGCACATTTCTGCCGCAGAGGTTAGGCACAGAGCCGCCTCTGCTGCATTTCAAGTCCACCTGAACCACGAAGACACTGGCGATCAACCCAAGCACAGCCAACCAGAAGTCTGCTTCGAGCGAAGTGGGAGATGGGGGAAGACAGGCGGGTGGGGAAACCAAAAAACAAAATAAATCACAGATGTCAGAGCTGGAAAGGACTTCAGGGCTCTCCTGTAATCAAACAACCTTTAAACAGTAACATTTTCATGATTTCCCTGCCAATGAATCAGAAACACAATAAGTTTGCCTGCAAAGTGGTTTAATGATTAACCAGGAAAGAGACACTTGGCAAAATACTCCTCCGTTTGTCAAGACCATGAGGGCTCAGGGCACAGCAGAGAAGCTTCCAGGCCACGGGGGCACTGGGTGGGTAGCGCTCAGAGACGTAGAGGAGGCCACCGTCCGCTGAGTATCAAACAGGCGCCCAGCCCTGGCATACGGGACATGCCCCAGAGTAGGTGCAGGCCACTCACACCCAGACCTGGGTGAGCTGCAAATGACCTGAGGTTCGTGGGCCACGCTGAGGGAAGACAGGACGCAGGCTGTCAGAGTCCCACCTGCAGGGCCTGGAGCTAGCCTGGAGAGAGGGCTGAACCCGGCTGGGCCTTGGAGAGAGGGACACGCATGGGAGATGACCGGAGGGTCTTAATCTCTCACTTCCCAAAGGAGGTCCTGGGTGAGACGGGGTGAGGACATCCGTCATCTGTGCCAAGAAAGTCCCCGGGCTCTGAGAGACGGGGCCGAGCTTCAGCCCACCCAAGTCTGGATGGGAATCTGTGCCCTGTCTCCGGGAGCATCCTGCCTCTTCCACCATCAGCTGAGATCCGGATCCCTGATTCATACACACAACAGGTTTGGAGTCAAGATGGAGCCAGGACGGCCAAGAGGGAGAGACAGGGCAATGGTCGGGTTAGACCGTCAGCCCAACGTGGGAACAGACGTCTTCCGTGGCCCCAGGCTGGCAGGATGCACCCCCATCACAGGGGTGGAGCATGGTCAAGTCCACGAGGCCCCTCCCTGCCCTAAGGAAAGACTGGCTGGCCGGGGGATGGTGGTGTGGGAGGCGGGGAGGTGCAGGGGTCGGGGGAGCACCCTTTGGAGGCCCACCTCTCTGTAGCTGCTCAGCTCAACCAGTGATAGGTTTGGAGCAAGAGCCCTCTGCTTCTCTGTCCAAGGAACCCACCAGACAGGAGACTGCCCTTTTCTCCTTCGTTCTATCTGAGCCAAGCCTCAACCCCACAACCTCTCTGCCCCTGCAGAGAAGCGCCCTCGGGGCCCGGCTCCACGGACCCAGCACAAAGAAGAGCAAATACCTCCTGACAGGACGTGGGGCCATCTCCTTGACTGTGATCCCTGAGAGTGAGACCCCACCCCCACCCAGGCCACACTCTGAACCCCAAAGCCCCACACTGCTACCAGGAGCCAGTCCAGAGCAGAAGCCCCAAAGTGCTTTCTCTCTGTGATGCAAAGGAGTTTCAAAAAACCAGGTGAGGAGAGAGAAGGGTAGAGGGTCCCAGAAAGGAATGGGATCTCCTGACTCCGCCCCTGCTGACTGTGATCCATCCCCACCCTGAGGACCGCTTTCCTCTCCCGGGGACAGGGACTCTGATGATGGAACAAATGGGAAAGCACCATGAAATTGCAAAGCCCTTTCTGGGACTTGCTTCCAGGAATAACCTCCAGAACACAGGCCACTCCCAGAGAGGGACACTGCAGAATCTTCCAGAAGATGACCACAGACCCAAGGTACCCAGCAAAGTGACCAGCACAGAGCAAGGCTCAACGGTGGGCCTCAAACAAGAAGCGTGGGTGGTACCCATGGCTCTGAGATGGTTCAATGGGGCCATTCAGTTGTTTGCAGGAATCTCAGGGCCTGAGATGTCCCATCTCATCTTTTTAAACTCCAGTGCGATCGTTTAAAAGCACATGCCCATGATACAACTAGGATTTGCTCACTGATCTCAGTCTCCTGTCACTGCTACAAGGATTCTCAGTGCCTGGCAGAGTCTGGGGTCCCGGGGATGCTTCGAGAGTGTCCCTCGGCACGTGTCACCACTGCCCGGCCACATTGGGACGAGGTGTCTGGCCCTGACCAGAAGGGGGTTCAGATCTGTGCAGCAGGAAAAGGCCATCATCTGCGAGGTGGTTGGAGGACCTGGAGGTTAGTAAGCCCCATGGCTAATGAGGAAGCTCCTGGTGGTATCAGGAGACCATCACTCATTGGGAGGAAGGGAACGAATCCAGGGGTGGGGCTGGGGGCTAACACGGCTGGAGAAGAACCCTCCAGAATGCCGGCTTCCAGCCAGGAGAGCTCTGGAGGCCCTCGGGCCACCACTGGACCCTACAAGCGTTGACAGTCTCACACCACATGGGATGCTGTCCCTTACAGCAGCTACCCATCTCCCGCTCAGAGGCGAAGGGGACCGAACAGGCTTTGAGCCTCCCAGGCCAGAGGGTGATGGACAGAGACTTGTCCCGTCTCAGAGGGAAGGAGGCCGGGGCTGGGAGGGGCCGCCCCTGCTACTGCACAGAGCCTGTCCCAGAAAGAAGCCCAGCTCCAGTTGGCTTGGCTGACTTCACCCTTCTCAGCAGCCTTCGTGCTCATTTGAACAAAGAAAAGATCTCTCCAGAACAATGCTTCTGGGAACTTCCCTGGCGGTTCAGTGGCTAAGACTTCTGGAAACCTCCCTAGCGGTTCAGTGGTTAAGACTTTGCCTACCAGTGCAGGGGATATGGGATCAAAAGATCCCACATGCCTTGCAGCCAAAAAAACCAACACATCAAACAGAAGCAATATTGTAACACATCCATAAAGACTTTAGAAATGGTCCAGGTTAAAAAACAAACAAACAGAAATCCTTCTGCAGCCAGCCACGTGGGCAAGAAATGCAAGATGAGCTGCGTGATCAAGCTGTCTGTCTTCTTGCCTCCTGACTAGCCCCGAGCATCCCCCCTACCCTCGCCCCCTCTGCACTCCAAGGAGGGGAACGTGCCAGAACCTCGCTGATCTGCTCTGATCCATCTCAGTGGGCCAGACGGCAGCGACATTTGGCCGCGAGCAAGCCGCCCTCGAGATGCCAGAAGCAGGCTGATTGGTAAACACTGGCCCGGCTTTCGGATGCGTCTCTGGCTGCCTCCCTGACTCATGGGTCTAGCACTTCGGGAAAATAAAACGACAGATGCTCTCGAGTTCAAGCAATACCGTCAGTCCACGAGCCAGGTTTCTGATGGCGAGGAACTAAACACTGCTGGGACAGCTGGACCTGCGGAAGCCGTTGGCAGGAGGTAAACACCTGGTCACAAGAGTGTCCCAAATGTGAAGGCCATGCCCTTTGACCCAAACAATCCTCTTTGAGGATTTTCCTAGAAAACAATCCACAGGAATGAAAACATATATATATTTATATTTACATATTCATGATCATGGCATCTAGTCCCATCACTTCATGGCAAATAGATGGGGAAAAAGTGGAAACAATAACAGATTATATTTTCCTGGGCTCCAAAGTCGCTGCGGATGGTGACTGCACAGCCATGAAATTAAAAGACGCTTGCTCCTTGGAAAGAAAGCTATCACCAACCTAGACAGCATATTAAAAAGCAGAGACATCATTTTGCCAACAAAGGTCCATATAGTCAAAGCTATGGTTTTTCCATGTATGGGTGTGAGAGCTGGACCATGAGGAAGACTGCTGCTGCTGCTGCTAAGTCACTTCAGTCGTGTCCGACTCTGTGCGACCCCACAGACGGCAGCCCACCAGGCTCCTCCATCCCTGGGATTCTCCAGGCAAGAACACTGGAGTGGAGTGACTATTCACTGGAAGGACTAATGCTGATGCTGAAGCTGAAGCTCCAATACTTTGGCCACCTGATTCGAAGAGCCGACTCATTGGAAAAGACCCTGATGCTGGGAAAGAGTGAAGGCAGGAGGAGAAGGGGGTGACGGAGGGTGAGAGGGTTGGATGGCATCACCGACTCAATGAATGTGAGCTTGGGCAAGCTCTGGGAGTTAGTGCAGGACAGGGAAGCCTGGCATGCTGTAGTCCATGGGGGTCAAAGATTCGGACACGACTTAGCTACTGAACAACAATATATTCACATGATACCTTATTGTTTTAATAGCCAAAAAGAAACAAACGGATCACCCCAAAGTGGAAAACTGGGAGACTGGCATTACAGCCGCTCCATGGACTTTGTGCAGACACTGAAGATGGTGTCTAGGAAGCTCATGAAGCTGCAGGCAGAGCACGTGGCACAACCAGGGGAAGGATTTGCAACTCTACTGATATTCGGCCACAATTATTAAGACCAGCACCGTCCCAGGGAAAGAGTCCAACGAGAACGTGGCACACAACCCCTGGGTGCATTAGGCACTGCCCACGGGGCTCCTTCCTTTCCCGAGGTCACATGTCATCACCACACCATTTTCTTGGCAGGCTGGACTTCGCAAAGAGCAGCCTGGGGATTCTACGCTGCTCACTTGGATGAGCGTGTCCCGGGCCACTCCCAGGATGGAGACCGTGCACACACATACCTTCTGGTCAAAGCTGTCAGGGGTCAGGTAGAAGTTGTGCAGGGGTACGAAGTAATCTTCCAGGAGCCCCATGAGCAGCACCAGGTACACGCCGTCTGCAAACTACAGAGGAACACGCGTGACGTTCCGGGCCGTACACGGAGTCAGCAAAGGCTCTGCCGCCACTCAAACGGAGGAAAAGTGTTTTAGAGTTGAAAAAAAAGAATCCATCTCTTGTTGAGGAACTTGAGCCTGCAGTGAGGTGAAGGACCAGGGTGCAAAGTGGGCACTTGAGACTGTACATGATGACATGAAGTGCGGCTGAGTGGGGAGGACCAGACCACTGACCTAGGGGATGACGCTGGTCCCATCTCTCAGGGTGGCCGTGGGGACCCTGTGAGGAGGGGGCAGGGAGCACCGAGCATGCAGGGAGTGCTCCACCTGTGCCAGCAGTGGGCACGGTTAACCCACAGCCTGCAGGGTGCCCTAGGCTTTGGTTTGGGGTTTGCTGCCCCGTTCGGCTCCCTCACTTGGAAGGCTGCCTGGGCGTCTTCTTCTAGAGACGTTCACGGCGGGACAAGACCTTCCCATGCCCTGGTGATGGAGAGTTTTTCCTAGCTGGGTCCTAATGGGTAGATCCCAGCCCCTCGACCTGCTACCTGGCCCAGCACCACCTCCCACGCAGAGGAAGCGGCCGGGAATCTAGACCCAAAGACTCTGCTCTTTGCCTGGGCTCCCCCGCCCCCAAGAAGCCAGGACAGGGGGCACCTGCTCCTTTTACAGGTAACCCAACGGAGACCCACGAAGGCAGAGCAACTTGCCCAGGGGCAGGAGAGGATCAAGATGCGGGAGGCGGAGCCTGATCTCTGGGACACGGACCAGCACTCGGGGCGGGGAGGGGGGAGGCAGGACCTGCCCACCCACCCGCCTTCCCAGAGAACATCTCCTGCAGATCAAGGACTTGTGACGAACCCAGCCTCCAGATTCTAAAACCGTGTTGTCCAATATAGTTTCCACTGGCTACATGTGCCTGCTGACATTCATCACAGGCTTTTAAATGAGACTGACTTATTTCCAGTTTAAACAAGTGGGGAGAAGCTCAGAGAGGTTGAGGAACTGGCTCAGTGTCACAGAAGCTCAGAAACTGCCCCACAATCTGATAGTGCTTTTAAAAAGGAGAAAACACACACAAACACACAGCCAAGGCAAGAACTGGAGCCCAGTTCTCACTGACTTGCAGGACATCAGAAGTTTAACAATGAACATACTTATGAAAATACTCAGTCCTTTGCAACAACAAAAAGAAAGATCTGCATTTCGAGGGCTGGGTATCTCTTTTGGTGGATCACTGGCTCAAACTATTTTTAGGATATTACTTCATGTGTGTTTGTCAAGTCGCTTCAGTTGTGTCTGACTCTTTGCAACCCCTTAAGACTGTAGCCCACCAGGCTCCTCTGTCCATGGGATTCTCCAGGCAAGACTACTGGAGTGGGTTGCCATGCCCTCTTCCAGGGGATCTTCCTGACCCAGGGATCGAACCTGGCTCTCGTACGTCTCCTACCCTGGCAGGAGTGTTCTTTACCACTAGCGCTGCTTTGGAAGCCCCGTGACTTCACACCGTGCAGTGACAGGAACAAATTATGTCATATAGAGCAAACAGACATCAATGCAAATTTAAGTTCAGGATTCAGCCTCAGATGTGTGGCTGTTGCTAGCGGCAGGCAGGGCCAGCTGGGCAGTGACCATCACGGACAGCTGGCGAGGATGTGGGTTCTCACCACCGCCAATGAGAGTTTCAGGCGGGCCAAGCTTCTGGGCCCTCCGTGTAACTCCCGACCTTTGCTCTAACAACCCCGTTTGTAGGAGTTTATCCTGAGGAAGCAGATAAAGGCATAAATGGCTGTGTGCAAAGATACTGGCTGTACCGCTTTTTACCAGATCAGGAAACGTCCCATCACAAGGACTGGATTTAATGACACGCAGAATAGGAGGCAGCTACTAAAGTGAAGAACACAGACAGGCCAGACAACACAAAAGGGATGCGACAGAAACCCACTCACTCACACAAAAAGATGCCCACACTATTAAGTAACACTTTGCAAAACAGCTGTTTTACAAAAAAAAAAAAAAAAATGACCCACAGCCATTTCAAAAAACACACTCATGCATATAAACCATCTAGAAAAATGCACACCCAACCGTTAACTGCAGTTGGTTACCTCTGGAGAGAATGGTGAGGGAGTTGGGGCGGGGGCAGACTAAAAGGATGGTTCCTCTTCAAATGAGTACAATTCTGGACTGTTAACATATCAAGCCGCAAATAATCAGAGGCTAAATGTGCAATATTAGTAAATGCTAAAAAAAAAAAAGTGTTCTTGCAAACAAAACACAAATAAATATATACGTTAAAAAATGGACCATTCAGCTTTCAAACACAGAGCGAGCTGCCCGCTTGGAGCCATCCGTGTAGAGAAACGATCTGGAGTAAACCCCCAGCGCCGTTATCTCCGGGTGAGGGGATTACGGGTGATTTTTATTTGTTTTGGTTATCTGCATTTTCAGACATTTCTACAATGAACCTGAATTACTTTTTTAATTAGAAAAGCAAATGAGAAAAGTTAAAGAAAGAGGAAGGAATGAACAGAATCACCCAGGGGTTTAAGAAGGATCAGCTGCACATTAGAGAGACAGGCACCGAGAACGGGAAAGACGTCAAACCAGCACCCAGCTAATCCTGGGGAAATTATATTTTGCCTTTAATGCTTGCCGAGCACTCAAAACATATTTTCACGCTGCAGCTTTCTCTCTAAGTGGGGGTGGGGAGGTATACTTTCTACACTTGCAGCAGGAGAAATATGTGGTGTGTATTCACTAGAGGGACGCCAGCCAGCATTTGCTGGCTAAGCACTCAGGGTAGACGGCCACGGACAGCAAGCAGAGGGCGCCAGGGACCTCCTGGTGGTCCAGAGGTTAAGTAAGACTCCTCACTCCCACTGCAGGGGGCTCGAGTTCGATCCCTGGTCGGGGAAATAGATTCCACATGCTGCGCAGCCAAAAATTTTTAAAATAAAAAAAAAAAAAAGAAGCATATGCAGAGGCAGCTACACTTTCTAGCCTGAGGGACCCACACACGCAGAAGCTCTTTGGTGGGGGTGCCGGCACCTTGGAGGGTGCTGTGGTTGAATTGCATCCCTGCTCCAAAGAAGTCCTTGATTCTGGGAAAGATGGAGGGCAGGAGGTGAAGCGGGCAGCAGAGGAAGAGATGGTTGGAGGGCATCACCGACTCAATGGACACGCATTTGAGCAAGCTCCGGGAGCTGGTGATGGACAGGGAAGCCTGGCGCGCTACAGGCCATGGGGTCGCAGAGAGTCGGACACGACAGAGCAACGGAACAACAACGACCAGAAAAGATGTGTTGGAATCCTGACCCCCCACCCAGAACCTGTGTGTAAACTTACTTGGAAATAGGGTCTTGGCAGAAGTAAGGTCATTACGGTGGGCCTTAATCCCACACGACTGCATTTTTACCAAAAATGGAGGGAAATTTGGATACAGGTCCATGTGAAAGCCAAGACGGAGATGATACATCTGATGACTCAAGAAATGCCCAAAGTTACCAGCAAGCCACCAGAAGCTGGGGGAGGGTCCTGGCCCTGACCACCTCCCCGCCCCCGTCCCCACCCCCTCCCAGAGGCTCAGAAGCAACAGCCCTGCAGACACCCTGATCTTGGATTTCTGGCTTCCAGAACTATGAGGTTATATGTGTTAGTTAAGGGGTTTTGTTCCAGGAGCCCCAGGGATTAAGATAGAGGGTGTGGGAGAAGGTCCAGGGGCCTGGGGCTGGGACTATTTCGACTGCATGATGGACATTCTCGGTTTGACGAACACAATGCTGTCTGCTTTGTTCACAAGGCCCACTGAGGGTCACAGAGCTGGCTGAAAACCACACGAGACAAAGGTTCCTTCAGCCCAGAACACGGCTCACCTGGGTCTCTAGTTCCGTCACCTCCAGATTCAGCTTGTTCAGGTGCTTGTTCACAAACGTGATGAGAGACTGCAAGGCAAAGAGACACGGGAAACGTGAGCGCGAGATTCGGTTCCCACATCACGGGACGGGCGCGACAGGTGCCATCTCTGGCTTCATGAGATGTTTCCGTGATCTCCCCTGTTAGCTGGAATGAAAGGCCCGAGTCGAAAACGAAATGTTCTTACAATCCCCTTTGGTTTTAATGAGATAAAACCTAAATCTATCCCAGCAGGTAAAGAAACACACAACTCTGTCCACCAGCCCATGTGCACGTGTGGTGTGCACACGTACCATATTTAACATCCCTGCAGGAGAGTCATCTGCGCCCTCAAGATGGATGTGACGACTCCCACTCAGGGGGAGATAATTAAATGCTTTAACGTAGACTAGATGTAGCCTTGAACTACAAAAGACTGAGACAGACAGGCTGCCTGGGGCCACCTCTGTCAGAGTTTCAGTAAATGAAGAGTCAGAGATTTGCTGCTGCTGCTGCTGGTGCTAAGTCACTTCAGTCGTGTCTGACTCTGTGCGACCCCATAGATGGCAGCCCACCAGGCTCCCCCATCCCTGGGATTCTCCAGGCAAGGACACTGGAGTGGGTTGCCATTTCCTTCTTCAATGCATAAAAGTGAAAAGTGAAAGTGAAGTCGCTCAGTCGTGTCCGACTCTTCGCGACCCCATGGACTACAGCCCACCAGGCTCCCCCGTCCATGGGATTTTCCAGGCAAGAGTACTGGAGTGGGCTGCCATTGCCTTCTCCGCCGAGATTTGCTGAGTCCTGGTATATACCTACACAGGGTCACTGGCTTCTCCTCTCTGGCAAAAGTTTAAAATTTGTCACTTGCAACTTTTCTCAGTAATCAAGCCCCACTTTAATGGAATCTCAGTATCAACCCCATCTCTCCCTATCCTGGACATGATGTCATTTCCTATTCATCTAACCCAACTATACTGTGTGCCCAGCACTCTGCTCGGTGCTGGGGACGCAAGACAGTGAGTAGGACAGAGCCCTACCCTGATGTCTGGGACACGATTTTCCATACACACACCCAGTGGAGGCAACAGGGAATCCAGAGATACAGCAAAGCTGATGAAATGTAAATGTCACAGCCGGGTGGGAGGGTGTCAATGAGAAGCACGTGGATCCCTGGAAGACGAGGGGGCAGGGGAGGACCTGAGCTGGGGGTAGGAGTGGGGGGAGTGAGCGGAGCAGCCACCCAGGCCGTGTCCACCTGTGGGAGCCCTCCAGCACCTTCCAGCGGGGGCTGGAGGTGGGTGGGATGGGAGAGGGGAGTCGGGCGTGACCTTGGAGGGACCTGGAGAGCTGGACAGGGCCCCCCTGCCTTTTTTCTGGGATTCGGGAGACACTAACCCAACTCCCAGTGTGGGGGTGGGGAAGGGCCAGGCTGGAAGCAGGAAGGTGTCAGGGAAACCAAAGGATTCTTTTTTGGTCATTGCTGGGATCCCCGCAACACGCCTTCTCGAAGAATGAATCAGATCTACTGCAAGTCAGGGCTTCCGTGGTGGCTCAGCGGTCAAGAATCCACCCGCCAGGGCAGGAGAGGGTGGTTTGATCCCTGGGTCGGGAAGATCCCCTGGAGAAGGAAATGGCAACCCACTCCAGTATTCTTGCCTGGAAAATCTCATGGACAGGAAAACCCCACGGCCTGCTGCAGGCCACGGGGTCGCAAAGAGTCAGACATGATTGAACTAGTGGACGACAACTTGTGCATGGATGTGAATGGGTTGTGAATCCATTCTTGGGAACGGGTTCCAGGGGCCGGATGTGGCCGGGGTTGGGTCGGCAGTACTGCTCTGAGGCCCAGAGTATGTGGCTTATTATCCAAGGACATTAAGTAGGCTCGGCCCCAGAAGGCCCACTTCTGCAAAGCACTTCAAGAACTAACAATCTCATCATCCCAGCCTGGACCAACATTTTCCAAATGTGAGTTCCATGGGAATTTAATGTGTTCTATCCCAGTATATTTAAATCAACAGATCTCACTACAGACAAACAAGCTTGGAAAAATGCACCCCACCAAGCCCCACTCTTAGTGAAGTGAACGTCGCTCAGTCATGTCCAACTCTTTGAGACCCCATGAACTATCCAGTTCATGGAATTCTCCAGGCCAGAATACTGGAGTGGGTAGCCTTTCCATTCTCCAGGAGATCTTCCCAACCCAGGGATCAAACCCAGGTCTCCTGCATTGCAGGCAGATTCTTCCCAGCTGAGCCACAGGGAAGCCCAAGCCCCCTCTTGGAGAACTGCAAAGCATGTCAGCACATTACAGACTCTGAGAAGTCCTACATGAAGCAACCTGTATGAGAAAACTATCCAAGATCGAGAGCTGTCTCCGCAGGGTCGAGGGCTCAGACTTTACAAGCTGAGATCCATCCCACCGCTGCCTTCCTGAGCATTCTGCAGGCGCTCAAATAACTTGATGTGTACTGAGTCTTGATTCCTCTTGGGGGAGAGAAAGCCATCGGCCTGGAAGCTCGCCATTCCCCAGCCCCCGACTCCAGAGCCTTGTTCACGCGGCTTCTTCCATCGGAGACTGACCGACCAGCAGGCTGCCTCCCCTTTGTGCTCCCAGCTGGGGAGACAGGCCAAATGGAGCTCAGAACAACTCTGCCAACAGTGCCTGCTTGTTTACCAGGCACATCGTGGATGCAGCGTTGCGGTAACGAGGCCAGCACGAGCCAGCAGGCTTACACGCTGAAAAACATTTCCACATTGAAAAAAAGCCTTGATTCGGAATGAACCGCCCCCCAATGCTGGCGGGGTAATTCACTCCACAGCAGTGGTGGGGCGGGTGGCCAGAAAGATACCCAGGAGCAGAGATGCTGAGTTAAAAAGGTGCTAATTTTATGCACCGCAGTTACTCTTTTGACTATAATTACACTTCAATCCATGTGGCAAACATTTCAGAGACTTCAAACATTTTCCCACCTCTTTCCCAGCATGGAGTTCATGCTGTAAAAAAAAAAAAAAACACACCCAGAGACGGAGGGAAACACCATGACCGAGAACTCACCTTCTTCACGACACTGAGCTTGTCGGGGGCGTGGTCGAAGAGCGTGTCGAAGGCGTCCCGCTCTGCAGAGACACGGAGAAGGGTTTAAGGAGACGCGGCTGCTGCTCTGATCATCCCTGCACATCCCCGGAACCAAGCAGCGTCTAATCCCCCGGCATGTTCCACCTGCCTGGGATCCTTTGCATTCCTGCCAGAGCCGAGAGGCAGGTGTTGACGAGGAGCAAAATCAAGGGAAAGATGCTTTGAAGGGTTCCTTTAACTGAGTTTCTGCCTCTGAGCACAGAATACAGGGGAAGCACTCAGACATCACATCCTAGCCCCCATCCATCACATTCTAATCTCTCTCTATTTTCCCCACACGCCTTATCTTGTTCGATACATCTGATGGATAAACCTGACCACCTGCCCCGCTAGTCGTGGCTGCCCCCTCAAACAAGCCCTCACCTGGGGATGGTGGCTACAACTTCCTGTTGAATGGATCCCACTCCTGCACTCCCAACCCCTCCGATCCATTCTCCCTCGAAGGCCCAGTGAGCCCTTTAACGTTTTGCTGTTCAATCGCTAAGCTGTGTCCAACTCTTTGGGACTCCATGGGCTGCAGCACGCCAGGCTTCCCACTTTAAAGTGTAAACTGGATCATTTCTTTCCCCCTCCCCACCCCTGTTTTCTTTCTATAAAGAAAGAGGAGTGCCAAAGAATTGATGCTTTTGAACTGTGGTGTTGGAGAAGACTCTTGAGAGTCCCCTTGGACTGCAAGGAGATCCAACCAGTCCATCCTAAAGGAGATCAGTCCTGGGTGTTCATTGGAAGGACTGATGTTGAAGCTGAAGCTCCAATACTTTGCCCACCTGATGCAAAGAGTTGACTCATTTGAAAAGACTGATGCTGGGAAAGATTGAAGGCAGAAGGAGAAGAGGATTACAGAGGATGAGATGGTTGGATGGCATCATCGACTCAATGGACATGAGTTTGAGTAAACTCCGGGAGTTGGTGATGGACAGAGATGGATGGCGTGCTGCAGTCCATGGGGTCACAAAGAGCGACTGAACTGAACTGAACCCCACACCTGCGGGGACTAAAACTCCCCATCACTCTCTCGTCACTCTTAGAATAAAATCTTTCTCTCCCATGGGCCCATAGGGTCCACAAGTTCAGCATCACCTCTCAACACGCCCCCCGGAAACCTCATCCACCCACCAGCACCTCCCTCCGTCACACGCCCACCACTGGGCCTCTGCACCTGTTCCTCATCAGCCTCACCTCCTTGAGGTCGTCTGGGGGGCCTTCTATGACCACCTGTCTCTAAAAGAGCACCCCACTTCCGCTCTCTGTCCCCTCACCCTGGTGCAACTTTCATAGCAATTACTCACGGCTGTCAGTAAAGAATCTGCCTGCAAGGCAAGAGACCCAGGTTCGATCCCTGGGTCGGGAAGATCCCCTGGAGGAGGAGATGGCAACCCACTCCAGTATTCTTGCCTGCAGAATCCCATGGACAGAGGAGCCTGGGGGGCTATATAGTCCACGGGGTCGCAAGACTCGGACACAGCTGAGCGACCAACCCACCACCATCTCTCTGCAAGCACGTTCTGTTTTCACTTCTCCGCTGGACTGTCTGCTCCTTGCAGCCTGGGACTGCTGGCTCACTTTTTCGCTGCGCCATCACTGGCTCCAGAACCGTGAAGGGCCCGCAGCTGGTGCTCAGAACAAAGGAAAGAGCCAGGAAATCCTGCTCAGAACGCCTCGCGAGCTGCTCTTCCCCGGGGTGTCCGCCTCTGTGGGAAGACCCACAGGGCCAGAAGGGGCCCGTCCCGCCGTGTCCCTACCTGCCTGCCACTCGTGGGCCCAGCCATGCCTTCCAAATTAACACAGAATCAGCCCCTTCTTTTTCAGTTGCGAGGCCACCAGAGGCCAGGGCGATGTGGCCATCAGTGGACCAGACAGGAGCAGGGCTGTCTGGGGCCGGGGCCTGCTTCCAGCCTGAGGCTGCCGTGGCGGGTCACACAGGGCCAGACAGAGCCCCTGGGCCGCCTGGAGCCCAGGCAGTGGGGCGGAGGTCTCAGGGTGGGACCCAGGGCTGTGGGGGAGTCGCTGCCAGGACGGAGCAGGTGGGGAGGAGGGCATCTGGAGGCCATGGGGCCCCCCTTCTGTCCTCAAGGATCCCCAGCCCCGCAAGGTGCCTGGGGGTGGTCAGTGCTCAGAGAACCTCAACCAGCAGAGAGGCCCTGTTTCTGGGTCTCTATCCAAGTTGGGGCTGGGACTCAAACCCCCGGCGTGGAGTCTGGGGGAGGGCTGGGGTAGGAAGAGCCCCTCCGCCTATCTGGAGGGGACTGGGACCCAGAGCTAGAGATGACCCAGCGCCTGCTCCAGGACCGCAACAACAGAGAGGGGAAAAACGAGAAGGCAGGTCATGACCGAGGAGCCAGAGCCTGCGCCTCTCCTGGGGGAAGCGTCCCAGCTACTCCCCCGGGGCGGCCCCCAAAGGCAGGCGCTCAGCACCCACTGGCCAGGGCCCCCGAAGGCAGCTGGCCCAGCCCAGGTAGCCTCCCCACTGGCCTTGGGGTCAGGCGGCAGGAAGGAAGGTGAGAGGCAAAGAGGAAGGTGTGTATGCACGGTGCGTCTGTGGTGTGTACACACACGTGTGCACAGGGGTGGGGCGTGCGTCTGCGGAGGGGCACCCCGCTTTTTTCACCTAAAGGCCAACAGCAACCCAAAGGCCTGACCCCGCAGGTTTCGTTTCCCTCCCCCCAGCTTTTCTACCGCAGCAGCTGTAAATTATTTTTATAATCATCTAAGTCCGATTATACTCAACAAGGCAGTCTACTAAGAGGGAGGGAAAAAAAAAAAGCTAAATCTTCACAAAGCAAAACACAAACTTTAAATGCAGCTTTTAAGAAAACCCCCAGGAGCAGAACAGCCTTGACGTCAGCCGGGTATATTTAGCCGAGCCACCGCTGGGCTGGCAGAGGCAGGACGGCAGGGGGGCCATCGCGGGGCCTGAAGGTTGGAGCCCCCACGCCCACTCACCTGCACCTGGGGGTGGGGGTGCGGATGGCGTCACGGCCGAGGCCTGGGGAATGACAACTAATCTGGCCGAGAGCCTGGGGCCCATGACTTAGGCAAAGCGTCTCCCTCCATAAGGTGGGGGTGAAAACAGACCCCAGCTCACCACCAGTGTGAAGGATTAAGTGAGGTAAAGAATCAAGGGCTTCCCAAGTGGCGCTAATGGTAAAGTACCCGAATGCATGTGCATATGAGACATTAGAGACATAGGTTCGATCCCTGGGTCGGGAAGAGCCCCTGGTGGAGGGCAAGGCAGCCCACTCCAGTGTTCTTGCCTGGAGAACCCCATGGACTGAGGACCCTGGTGGGGGGCTATAGTGCATAGAGTCACAGAGACGGACATGACTGCAGCGACTTAGCACCCAGCACACCCGGGGAAACGTACTCCCCTGGCGGCTCAGACGGTAAAGCTCTGCCCACAGTGCGGGAGACCCGGGTTCAGTCCCTGGGTGGGGAAGATCTCCTGGAGAAGGAAATGGCAACCCACTCCAGGATTCTTGCCTGGAAGATCCCACGGATGGAGGAGCCTGGTAGTCTACGGTCCTTGGGGTCGCAAAGAGTCGGACATGACTGAGCTACTTCACTTTCACTTTCACGCACAGGTTATAAAGGGAGAAGCAAGTGTGTCCCTGATGTCCTCTCGTCCTGACCCCACCCTGACCTCCCTCTAGGCTCTGGGGACAGTCACAGGGATGAATGAACAGGGGGCAGCCCCGCCCCCGGGAAGGGCACAGGCAGTCCAAGAATGGGTACCAATAAAGCCAAAAAGATGCAGGAAGCGGCTGCATCAGCCAGGGCCCCAGTGTCCACCCAGGTTCAACTTCTGAAGATGCTCAGCTTACTCCAGACGAAGTAGGCTCTGTCTAAGTCTGCATTTTTGAAATCGGAAGGTCTGTCCAAAAGTCCAAAATTTCTGGCTTCTCTTGAAGAAACAGGAGCCGAGGAAACAGTGAACATCCATTCGCCCTCTCCGACTCCCAGCATCGACAAGGCGCCCGTGGAAGTGGGGGCACAGGCTCCCCCGTTCGCCCCCAGGCACCAGCACTCCCCACCGCACACAGCACAGAAGTGGGGGCGGAGGCAGCCCTTCATCATTCAGTATTCTCGACACTTCCCTCTTTCGTGTGACCCGCCTGGTCCCTGGGGACCCCCAGCTTGGGGACGTGGACACAGGCCTGGGGTCAGAGGAGCCCCGATGTTTGAGCCGGGGCTCACTGGGACAAGAAGAGGAGGGTGTTCTGGGCAGAGGGAACAGAAAGCCAAGAGTGGGTTCCACACCAGGTTCCACGGTGTGGCCTGGGTGGGGGTGGGGAGGCTAAGAGGGCTGGATCCCTTGGGGGTGAAAGGAGTGGTGGAGGGTGGAGACCAGGAATGGTGTGATCCAGCTGCAGCATCGGGAGCAACGGGAGATGTGAAGGGGAGAGACCAGGGCCTGCAAGGAGTCCTGGAAGAAAAGGAAGACAGCTTCTCCATCCTTCTCTCCAACGGGAGGGGGAGGGGCGCCTGCTGAGGAGAGGCAGCCAGCCAGCAAGCCCGTTACCATGGAGATCAGGCTGCAGCTCCCCAGCTCCCCCGGGGAGAGAAGGGCCTCCCATCCACCCCAGCCAGGACAGCAGAGCCCGAAGGAGGCGGGTGGGGGGGTGGTCCCAGGGGAGGTGCAGAGCGCCCTCCCACCCCCCACCTCACTCAGAGTGCCAAAGTGAGAAACTGAGGCTGAGAACTGGGCTCCCTGTGAAGCCTGCACCACCCCCGCGCCCCAACCCAGGTCAGACATGAGCCAAGGAGGGTCTGCCTGGTGTTGCAGTGCTCCTGGAACGCATGTGGTCCAGGGCTGGGGATGCACGTGGGGGACACACGCCCCAGCCCACAGGAGGCTTACAGCTCAAGGCACGTGTGCATGCTCAGTCGTGTCCCACTCTTTGTGACCCCCATGGACCGGAGCCTGCCAGGCTCCTCTGTCCATGCGACTCTCCAGGCCAGAATCCTGGAGTGGGTTGCCATTTCCTCTCCCAGGGGAGCCTCCTGACCCAGGGATCGAACCTGCATCTCCAACATCAGCAGGCAGATCCTTTACCACTGGGCCAACCGGGAAGTCCATGACTCAAGGAGCCATGTGCCAAAGGCAAGAGGGCAGGGCCAAGCGGGGGTCCCTGACGTCCAGGGACTGTCCCATGCCTGTCAGGCACGGAGCAAAGTGTTCCCAGCAAAGAGATGAGTAAAGAGATAATGGAGGGGCGAGGGGGCCAGAGGACAGGCGGTGATTCGGGCAGGGGTGTCAAGGAGGGCCTCCCTGGAGGAGGTGAGCCACGGGGTAATCTAGAGGGGGAGCATTTCAGGCCGAGGGTACTGTGCGTATAAGAGCTGGAAGGGGAGTGCAGGGTGGGGGGCTGCTGGAGGTGTACGGGGGGCCAGGAGGCCAGAGCGGAGAAGAGGGGGTGTCCAAAGGGGGACCCAAGGGGGCCTGGGAAGCCCCTGCAAGGCTTTAGCTTTTGGCAAGCTGGGGGTGAGCAGAGGGAGGGGTTAAGGCGTGCAGAGGAGCCAACTCGAGGGGCCAGTGGGGGGAGGTGATGGGGTCCTGGGGCCATGGGGTCCGAGGGCTCCCGCAGGAGACGGGCTGGCAGAAGCTGCCACGCGTCAGGGTAACCAGGAGACCCAGGGACCTGCGTCAGCAGGAGCAGAGCTGGGGGCGGGCGAGTTGCCTGTCACCCACTAATGGCCTGTTTGTATTTCAGGAGCATGGGCGGCCCCAGACGTAACGAGGGCGACGACTCCAGGCTCTTCAGCCTCTTGGGTGCCCGCCCCCCACCACGCTCAGCCATCCCCGGGGACTCTCAGCCGCCATCCAGTCCACCAGACCCCCAAGCGCCCCTCATCAGGGCTGCCAGGGCCTTTCTGGCTGAGCGTCTAGCCCCTTCTAGCATGGGAGGCTGCACACAGACCCCAGCGGAACTGATTTCCCCCGAAGCCCCCCAGCTAGTCCAGTCCCACTAGTCCTGTCCGCCACACAGAGGTGAAAACACACAGGAAGCCAAGGCAATGCTTAAAGATGCTCGGAGGGCCCCACCTGGGTCACCTCTGTCCTCGACAAGCCCACCGGCTCTGATCCCCTCCTGCTGAAGGGACAGGGAGGGGACAGCAGGGTGCCCTGCGCCCACCTCTCTGCACTCCCGGGGCAGGGCCAGGCGCCCCCACACCGGCTCTGGAGCTGCACGTCCCAGCCTATTCTGCAGCCTCAGCAACTGAACACAGGAGGATTCCTTTTCACTCCCTTTTTATTTAATGTTTTTTAATAATAAAGACATTAAAAAGAACTCCACTGCTACTTAAAAAAAAAGTGAAGACTGCATTTCCCCAGCACAGCTCAGGGACCACTTAAGGACACTTAAGGACATACAATCGCTGCATTTTCTCTGGTTCAAGACCTCTGGGAACTGCAGAGCCGCTCGTCCTCTCTGTGCCCGAGTGGCAGGGGTGACTCTGGTCCCCATAATCACCGTGAGGCCACAGAGGCCAAGCTCGGGGTGCCCCCAAGGTGCACCCCTCACCCTGAGGCCCCCACCCGCGGCTAGGGACCAGCTCCGGTGGCCAGCTCACAAGGCATGCGGGAGACTTCTGTTTGGTCTCTGTTTTCCTCCTAACATCTACGCTCCCCTCTCTGCTCTCTGGAGAACACGGCATCTGGGGAGTGCTGAGGACTTCTTGATTTGAAATATCACCAAAGCGGGGGGCCTGGCTCCAGCTGCCTCTGGCTGTGACTAAGAGCTGGGGGCTTCCCCTCCCGGAGGGCCGAAATGCTGCCATGAGCTGCCCTTGCACCTGCCACCCTTCCCCGAGATGAAGATGGGATGGTGGGGCTCTCAGGGGGCAGAGGACAGCTCTGTGGCAACAGCCACTGAAAACCAACAGAGAAAGAGCCCTGGGCCAAGCAGAGTGAACGTCTGTTATCTCACAAAATCCACCAGCAATCCCGAGGACCCATTTCACAGATGGGGAGCAGCGAGGTGAAGGAGGAGGCGAAAGGTCACGGGACCAGAGTCAAGGCTGCCTGACTCTAAGGTCTGCTAAGCCGGAGATTTTAAGGTGGAAAGCTATGTATGAAAGTACATCCCAGGACTTCCCTGGTGGTCCAGTGGCTAAGACTCTGCGCTCCCAACGCAGGGGTCTCCGATTCCACCCCTGGTCAGAGACCTAGGTCCTGCATGCTGCAACTAAGAGCTCAAATGCCGCAACTAAAGATTCCGCGGGCCGCAACTGGGATCCGGTGCAGCCCAATAAATTAAATAAATGATCCGTTCGGTAAAAAGTACATCCCATAAGGAACCTCTGAACCTCTGGCTAGCTAATGATGCTCTGTATTCACAGGGACATCCGCCCTCCCCCTTCTCCTGGTTCACCCCCACCCACCACACTTCTCTAATCCCCCACCCAACCAGCTGAGAAGCAAACCACACGCCAAAACCCACCCTGGGCCCTGCGGCCTCTGAGAGACCATGTGAACCCTGGGGGTTCCCGGGGTGGCCCCACAGTGCCCGGCGACCTCAGACGCCCCATGCCCTCCCCAACCACTCCCCCCCAAGTTACTTACCAAAGCGCCCCATCATCATCCTGCAAACAAGAGCAGAGAGAAGCGTCAGACGGTCCTCAGAGTTGAGTGAGCAGCGGGGCGGAGGGTGGTGCGGGTGTCCCGCAGGCCCCCAGCTGGCCAGTCGGAGTTATAAAAATGTAAGTCCCACTTGGATAAGTTCTCTCCCGCTCTAATTACAAACAGGAGGTGCTTATGTGGATTCTAAATGTTTGCACAGGACGGGCAGCAAATAGACATCTCTAAGCCATCCTTTTAATGCCATTTGGGAGGGTGGTGAGGAACGGGCATTTAATCGAGGGAGTAGTTAATACGGAGAACAATTCAACAGAAAACGGGTCTTCTGGCACCTTGAGCTTAAACTTTAAAATAAAACGATTACAGTCCATCAGGCGCTTGGTCGTGTCTGACTCTGTGACCCCGCGGACGGCAGCCCACCAGGCTCCTCCGTCCCTGGGATTCTCCAGGCAAGAGTGCTGGAGTGGGTTGCCATTTCCTTCTCCAGGGGCTCTTCCTGACCGTGGGATCAAACCCACGTCTCCTGCACTGCAGACAGATTATTTACCACTTGAACCATCAGGGAAGCCTTGAGTTTAATCTTTAAAATACAAGGGTGCAGACTACCCAGAGGTCACATTCTGGGGAGTCAGGACAACACATTTCCGGGGAAGCGGGAAACTAAAGGGTCCTGGAGAAACACAGGGCTGGGCCCTGACTCAGGGTGAGAGCTGAAGCCATGAAGGACGGGTGGCTGGGTCCTCCCGGAGGATCTGAGAGAACAAACGCACAGGTGCTTTCTGTGCACCAGCTTCCTGAGAGGTAGCGAGACCTCGGCTTCACCCGCAAACCCCTCTAGACCCAAGTCCTTTCCACCTTATTTAACAAGTAGTCTCTAGAGCACCTACTATGCACAGGCCATAGAGATATGGAAATAAACACCCCGTGGCCCTGCCGCAGGACCCCTGATGGTGAGAGAGACTCCTAAGCCCACATTTCTACACAGCCCACACACACCAGAAATGAGACATACAGGAGATGCTACGGGAAGTAAAAGGAAGCCAGCCACTCCTGCTTGGCAAACAGGGAGGGCTTCCTGGAGGAGGCGACCCACAGGACAGAGAAAACCTCGAGTCTGGGAGACCAGGCAGGAGGCTGGGCAGCCTCTGCTGGAAGCCTCTCTCTACCTTGACTTCGGGGCACCCCTCCCCACCCCCACCACACTGCCTGAAATTCCCTGAGGGCCACACTGTACTTCCCACAAGGCCCCTGGGCTGGATTTCACATTTCTACGGACACGATCTTTCTTGCCAGCTAAACCACCACCCATGGAGGAGGGAAAGCGCATCCTCTTAGCCTCTGGGCACCCAGCACAGTGCCCGGCGCACCGCAGGCCCTGTGGGTGCTGGTGACCGGTGTCAATCGTTGGGGCCACTCCCCCAGGGGCCGGCTCTGGAAACAAAGCTCCCACTGCCCCCTGCTGCCCTTTCAGGGATCCCTCACCCGCTTCGAGACCAGGGAAGAAGGACACAGCATCTTGCCATCACTGCAGGCAAGTAAAAGTTAAGGATTTTGAAAGAGGAAATGGGGGAGATGTGTTTAGACTGATCGGGAGCACCTGTGGTCCTCACTGATTCATCCATCTATCTTAGCTCCGTCAGAGGGAGGGCGCCCCCCGCCATCAATAGGCCTGGCTGCTCCCAGCCCCTTCAATGGGCCATCTGCCTCCTGCCCTCCCATCCAGGGGACCCGGGACTCGCTGTGACCCACAGAAGACAGGGACACAGCATGCAGGGGGCCAGAGGCCTGCAGTTGCTCTGTCATGCCCCGGGGACCCTGAGGACACCCGGGAGGAAGCCGGCTCCATGAAAGTGAAAGACACGGGGAGGGACAGAGGCCTCCACCGGCCAGCGCCAACCACCAAACTGTCAGCAAACAAAGTGACTGTTGATTTAAGCCCCGAGGTTTGGGGTGGTTATTTACACAACGATGGATAACCAAGACTCTAGCCCGCTCCCGACTACCCACCCCCCAAGCTGCCCTTCTTCTGCTCCCGAAGGGGCCGAGCTGGCTGCGTGAGACCCCTCCCCAGGCCAGGCTCAGCACCGCGTCCCCGTCCCCCCTCCCCTCCCGGGGGCCATGAACAGCTGTGCACACACGTCAGGAAACACCCGTCTCTCCCGTCCACCTGACGGCTCCCACGCCGGGAGTGGCTTCCTGTGTCGGCCTGATTTCTGAAAGACCATCCATGAATTCATGACACAGTAATTAATCACTCCCTGAACTGAGCAGGTGGGTGAGCTGAGACGATCAATTTTTAATGCCCTGTTTCATCGAAAACAGCTTTAATAGGGAGGCACAGAGGCAGTGCATTTTAAAGGCTCTTCGGAGGGTGTCCTAAGGCCTCTTACAAACCACACGCAAAATAGATCCATTTGATTTGCTATTTTCAATAGATTTGAAGCTTTTCAGACTTCTTAAAAACTGCCCTCCAGTCTTCTCGAAAAGGCCAGAGATGGCTCAAGACTTTCTCAAAGGAAGTTCTAGTTTAGATGCGTGACTCCCTCCCTCCAATGGAGCTAAGACAGATGGATGAATCAATTAGGACCACAGGTCCCTGGACCAGTCTAAACACCTCTGCCCCATTCCCTCTCTCAACATTCTTAAAGTTCACCCTCCAAAATAAGGAATAACAGTCCACATCTTTGGAGAATAACTTACTTCAAAACATTAAAAATTTGGACGTCATTAGCATGCCTAACTACAAGGAAATTCACTGTTATAAATTTCCCCTCATTTTTACAAGAGATTTTGAATGTGATCAATTATGTTTTTCTTTATTATTCCCTGTCTCATTCCAGAAAAGATTTCCAGCAGCGTAAAGAAGTTTTAATTCATATGCCACAGGTATTGACTCATTTTTCTATTTAGGGAGAAAATAAAAGATATGGGATTTCTCATTTAAACACCAAACCAAACTGCTGTGTTGCCATTCTTCAGCAAGACAAACAAACAAACAAAAAAGAAAACAACAAAAATCAAAACCAAAAACACTTTGAAGAAAGTGCACGGAAGATGGAAAGCTAGGGTGGACACTTGGAGAAAAGTCCATCCCAGGGTCAAGGATCACAGAGAGGAAAATGGCCCCTACATGTCTGAGGGTCCCCAGCTGGAGCAGGGCCTGGGGGCGGGGTCCACTTACTCGGTGGTCGTCGTCAGCTCCTCGGTGACGTGGCTGGAGTGCAGCAGGCCTTCCCGTTTCTGAAAACCCCAAAATGGACAAGCAGATCAACACGCGGGCAGGCAGGCAGAGCAGGAGGACATCACCTGCGGGGCAGCCACGCCTGGGGGTGGACCGCAGGCGGGGTGGCTGGAACCTGCTCCCCATTACCCTCCCCAAACCCTCTGCTCTCCACACTGTTCTTAACGCAGCTGCGGGGGTCTCAGGAGAGTCACCCCAGCTCCCAAAGGACGCCCTGCAGCTGGGGAGACAGGCAGCATGAAGGAATATGCATGACATGAGGGAGGCACCAGATTAAATAACAGACGTGCACTGGGCTGAACAGGGTCGCCCAGGAGCCGTGTCCATTCAGAGCCTCCAAGTGTCACCTCATTTGGAAACAGGGTCTCCGCAGATGTAATGAGTTAAGATGAGACCGTGACGGACTGGGGTGAGTCCTGGCTGAAGACTGGAGTCCTTATGAGAAGAGAAGAGAGAGACACAGAGGGAAGGGGCCCCGTGAGGCAGAGGCAGAGACCGGAGATGCATGTCCACACCCCAAGGAAAGCCAAGGGCGCCGGCAGGTGATGGAAAAGGGAAGGAAGGGACCCTCCTTCAGAGGGACCCAGTCGGTGCCCCGATCCGGACTTCGGGACTCTGTTATGTGAGAGAACAAATGTCTGCTTTTTTCAGCCACTGCTTGGAGGGATTTTGTTCCAGCAGCCCCAAGACAAGAGCAAGGTGTGTGATACACCTGTCCTGGAGCCTGGCAGGCGCAGAGAGGCGACGATGGTGGTGGAGGGGGAGCCTGTGCATCCCCTCCTTAGGGGAGAGCTCAGAAGTCTAGCCCAACCCCACTGTGAGCCCCTACTTGAACCCGTCCATGGACAGGGAGCTCGCCTCCCGCTAGACACTTCTCGAGATCCAAGCTCCACGGGCTTTCCTGAGCTCAGCCTCCAGGGAACTCTCACCACTGGATCGAGTGAGTGGAGAGTAACCAGCATTGGACAGCTGTCAGCTTTCCCAAGGCTTCACCCTGGCTGATTCTCAGGAGCGCCCATGGGGGCTGGGGGTGGGGGTGTGTGACTCAGAGACATGTTATCCACTTACTCACACATCAAAGGTGCATCAGGCTCCCATCAGACTCTGGACCCAGAGCTGGGTATAAGTCAGACAGACCGAATGTTTTGAAGTCTATGGTAAAGACTCTTGAGAATCCCTTGGACTACAAGGAGATCCAACCAGTCAATCCTAAAGGAAATCAGTCCTGACTGTTCTGATGGACTGGTGCTGAAGCTGAAGCTCCAATACTTTGGCCACCTGATGCGAAGAGCTGACTCATTGGAAAAGAGCCTGATGCTGGAAAAGATTGAAGGCGGGAGAAGGGGACGACAGAGGATGAGATGGTTGGATGGCATCACCGACTCGATGGATGAAAGTTCGAGCAACCTCCAGGATATAGTGAAGGGAAGCATGGCGTGCTGCAGTCTATGGGTTTGGGAAGAGTTGGACAGGACTCAGCAACTAAACAATAACAACACAGTAGAATCTCAATTTTATGGGGAAAGCGCTGCAGCTCAGGAAAACCAAGTGACCTTCCAAGGCCACGTTGCCAGGTGCAAACGCAGCCTTCCCTCACTCCTTCCCGCCATGAACTGCCACGCTTCTCGCATCTCCCCATATCGACTGGATAATCAGACACGCAGGGAACAGGCCAGGGGCAGCTCTAAGGCCTGAGGCTGGCCAGTCCCCAGGGCCTCCCCTCCTGCTTCATTTCTCTCTGGCCGTGGCCCAGAGAATCCTCCTGTGACCTTGGTCAAGGAAGAAAGTGCCAGTGAGTGCCTGCTTGGGCCAGTAAAACATTCTGCAAACCCCAAAGATTTTCTTGGACCGAAGCGCGGGCCTGAAAGGAAATATCCTGGTTACTGAGCTGCAGAGAGTTCATGGAGCCCGGAGTCTGACGTACATGGGCTTGGGAACCACGTTCTCATGTGTCCTTGGGAAGCCTTTCCCGGCCGACCGCCCCAGGAGAGCATCCAGGATGAGGGGAACAGGCACAGTCCCTGTCCATCACCACCTCTGACCGCGAACATTCCCCTTTGGGAAGCAGATGCGGCAGAGCAGCAGGTAAGCCCCACCTGGGGCCCCAGGGGGCATGCTTGCCCATCAGGTCTGGGCCAGGCTGTGGGGGTGATAGAGCGGTCAGACAGCTTTGAAAAACACAGGATCAGCCAGAGCCTCGCAGACCGCAGAGACCGTGGGACTGATAGGTTTAAAAACCAGAAGGGAGTGTGGCGCTGGACATCTCCGCGAGAGACATCAGGTCCCAAGAATAACCTCAGTGCCCTGGCAGAAGCAGCCGACCCTTGAAGACCCCAGCCTGCTCTCCTCCTCCAGTGTCCCCCACATCAGGGCGACGGCCCAGGAAACAGTAGGTGCTTAATACATGTTTGCTGGACGAGACTGCACACGCAAAGCCAAGGCAGGGTCTATGCCCTTAAATTCAGAGGAAACCGACATGGAAGGTCCAACTCCAATCAGGCACACCCTGGCGCCCCGTTACAGTTTTTCAAATGAAGCAAGCGAAATGACCCTCAAAAAGAGAAGATGGGGGATGATGGATGTAATTGGCAGCGAACGCAAGAGGCTTTGATTGGGGTACCAGAGTATCTATTTCATTCCTCTGGTCTCACCCTCTCCACTGAGTAATAAGCTCATTCAAGAGGCCTGAATTCCAGCTACTTGGCTTTGCACAGAAATGAATGCTCTTTTCAAAAATGTGGAAATTAAACCTCCACGCACTTAAGCCTTTGAATCTGCCTCTCTTGAAATCAATGCCATTGTTCCTGCTCCATCATTTACCTTGAAGCCAGGGCAAGGCATGCATTTTGTCAAGAGGAAAAAAAAAAAAATAGAAGGTAGCCTCTTAAGGGAAAAAGAACAAAGAGCAGGCAAACCAGAGAGGAATGAGGAGTGAGTCTCGGAGCCTCTGAGGAGGAGCCGCGGGCAAGCGGACTGCCAGGCTGACAATACTCACCCGCACGACCACCACTTGCACGGAGACGTGTTCCGGGAGGTGAATCGGGGCCCGGAAGTGCATGGCCAAGGCCACGAGGAGGTGGAGGATAGCCACTAGATTCTTCCCGTGGATCGCTGGCCGGGGAGGCAAGAAGTGAACTGTTTTATATCGTAAGACAGGAACCCCAAGCCCACGTCCCAAAGGCAGTGAAACCAACCCCAAAGGGCCTGCTGCAAAGCACAGGGAACTATACTCAATATTTTGCAATAACCTCTAAGGAAAAAAGGAGGCTTCCCAGATGGCTCAGTGGGTAAAGAATCCGCTTGCAATGCAGGAGACTCAAGAGACGAGAGTCCGATTCCTGGGTCGGGAAGATCCCCTGGAGGACGGTACGGCAACCCACTCCACTATTCTTGCCTGGAGAACCCCATGGACAGAGGGGCCTGGGGAGGGGGCTACAGTTCACGGGGAGGCAAAGAGTCGCACACGACTAAAGTATCTGAGCCCAAGAAGAAAAACGAATCTGAAAAAACATGTACGTGTAACTGAATCACTCTGCCGAACACTTGAAACTAACGCAACACTGGAAATCAACTATACTTCAATTTTTAAAAAGGAAAAGGGGAGAGAAGGCAATGAAGATGCTAAATGCAAGTGAGAGCTCAGGATAACCACGGGCGGAACCACAGGCCACGGAAACATGGAGAGAGCTGAGAAGCATCCTGTGTGAATTTGGTCCGTGCAGTTCTGGCTTCTCATTTTTTCTTCCCTGTTGGCCTCAGGTGACTGACGCAACTGCGTTCAGAGGCGCGCTGTTCGTAGAAGGAGTGAACCGGTGGTGGGGAAGGAGAGCATGGGCAGGAACGTACAGCGGGCACAGGAGACGGGAGAGGTTCCGGAAAAGCAGGTCACCTGGCCGCTGACCCACCCACAGCCATGCGCATTCTTATCTGGGCACTTAACGGTCCTTCCTCTATGCCACCGAGCGTCTCCAACAGGGAACACCAAGCAGCGCAAACAGACCCTGGGGGTGTTGGACGTTGACTCCCGCCCTGCCTGGGGCCCTGGCTGCCAACCCAGCCCCACCAGCTCTTGTGCAGGATGTGGGCCAAGGCGTGGTTGTCACCCACCCTGTGCCAGGCTTCTCTGATTCCCTCCCCCAGCCTCACAACCCAGGAGGCGGGTCTGTCCTGGGTCTCCATGCCAGAGGAATTGGACAGCAATCTTGGTCTCACCTAAGTGCAGGGACCCCAGGGCGCCCTGGCCGCCCCGCCCTGGGGGTGAGGCTGGGCAGTGGGCAGCTGGGTCAAGCCCTTTGCAGCCTCTCATGGTCAATGCTCCACTTCTCCGGGTTTACGTTCCGGCCCGAAATACTATGATGCACGTATTCTTAAAGCCAGCACACTTGGTGACATGCTCTGGGGACCAGACTGAACCCCATCCCGAGGTCCTGCCCCGGCGAGTCACCAGTAACACAGCTCACTGGGTGTTGGCGCCCCCAGTATGTGGGGTGGAAGAACCTCTCAGAGCTTCTTCTGTCTTATAACCCAAACCCCCGCCCTGGCTCTGGAAGTCTCCCTTGACCAACCAGAAACAACCCCTCTCCACTCTAAAGCCCGGGGACATCAGCAGGTGTGACTTCACCCCTTACCGATGGGCCCCCGGGACCATCGCCTTGCTCCACTCCTGGCCCCCTCTCTCAGACCCGTACAATGACCCGGCCAGACCCGCAGATGGATGACTAGGCAGGAAGCTCGACGGCCAGGCCCCCCAGCCCCCCGCCTGGACCCGCCAACCGCTTACAGTCCACGCTCCACTGGAGCGGCCGGCTGTGGGGCCGCAGCAGCTCCCGCACCGCCTCTAGCACTGTCTGCAGCTTCTGCTTCTGTCCGATTTCCGACTGGGTCACCTCGGCCACGTTCAGCTTGCAGTCTGCCAGCTTTTCTGCAACGAGAAGGATGAGGACAGTGTCAGGAAAAGCTGGAGGGACTCAGGGCCGCCTGGTCAACCGGCTGCGATGAGGTCTCCCCACCCCCGGCATGGTCGAGTGGATTGGATCACCCCCGGCCGTGGGGCCCGCCAGGATGCTGTGCCGTGGAACTCTGAACTTGCAAGTCACCCCTGTTGCTTAGAAAACCACACCAGCAGGAAAAGGAGGGCTGGGGAGATCAAGGACTCAAGTGTGGGTGTCCCACGTGGGAACATTTCACGCCCAGAGAATTGACAGGATGATTCAGGGTGTGGCTGGGGAGGTGAGGAGGTGACCTGCGGGGACGGGACCAGAGGTGAGGAGGCTAGGCCAGCGGGCTCCCAGGAGGAGGAGGACTTTGATGAGAAAACAGGAAGGCCTCAGATGTGGCCCCTGCCTCCTTGCACCTTGCACATCCCCCTTTTTCTTTCTCTAGCGCTCGGACCCCACGGCGAGAAGGGTTATGTGACATTCAGGTCCCTGAGACTCTTTTCTCACCAAGAGGGAGCAGGAAGCACCAGGAGGAGCCGGCCAGCCTGGTCACGTCTGCTCCAGACTCATTTACGGAGACTAAGGCTCGGGCTTCCCCGGTGGCTCAGCTGGTTAAGAATCTGCCCGCAATGCAGGAGACCTGGGTTCGATGCCTGCGTTGGGAAGATCCCCTGGAGAAGGGAAAGGCTCCCCACTCCAGTATTCTGGCCTGGAGAATTCCATGGAGTGTATAGTCCATGGGGTCACAAAGAGTAGGACGCGACTGAGCGACTTTCACTTTCACTAAGCCTCAGCCTTTGAGCCTTCATTCCCTTCCCGGGCGGGGCCAGAGGAACCCCTCACTGCACTCTTGAGGGGCAGGCTAGGAGGGCTCCCCAGGCTTCCTGCCTATTCACTCATTCCCAGACTCGGGGGTTCCCCAATAGGTCTCCTCTGCAAAGCAACAGACAGGACGTCACAGGACATAATGAGATCAGGAACGCGGACAGTGATGAGAAAGTGCTGGGCAGAGAGCCTGACGCGCTGCGAGCCTCAGGCACGGAGGTGCCGGAGGCGGTGGCCCTGACAGGAGGGAGGTGCAAAGGCCGTCACGTCCAGGCCGGGCACAGGCAGGCCTTCTGTTTGGCGAGTGGTCCCCAGAAAGGATCGTTTAAGGCGTCTTCTCTGGAGGCCCCTGCTACTTCAACACGGTCTCCCCACATCCTCCCCTCTCTCAACCAGCACAAGAAGAAGCAGTTTAAAAGCCCCCTTCAGGACCCTATGATGACACAGCAATACCTGCTGGAATGAAGGACACACCTTCATTCATTCATTCACTTCTAGAACAGTTACTGAGCACCTGCTACGTCCAGGCGCCGTCCTAGGGCCGGAGGCGGCACAGACCAGAGAGGACTCTAATGGGGGTGGGGGGTCCACGGGGCGGCCAGCCACACCTGAAGGGCATCGGCTCGTGTAGGGCAGGCTGTGACAGAGGCAAAACAAGGCAGCTCAACAGAGGGCGGAGGTGATTCCCGTTTACGCGTTTTCATTTCCCCCCATCTCTATCTAATAGGTCTGAGCTGAATAACCCACAGCTATCTGTCCACACGCGTGCTCACTTGCTCTGTCGTGTCCGACTCTCTGCGACCCCCATGGACTAAGCCAGGCTGTAGCCCGCCAGGGTCTTCTGTCCACGGGATTTTCCCAGCAAGAATACTGGAGTGGGTTGCCGTTTCCTCCTCCAAGCTGTTCATATGACCCTCCCAGCCCCGCTGAAAATACAAAGAATGTCCCCAGGTGCTCAACAGCCAGGGACAGGACGGAACAGAGGCCCCTGGGGAAGGAAGCAGGGCTGTAGAGAGCCAGGTGGTCAGAGAGCCTCGCCCACCGGGGAGAGACGGGGAGCCAGGCACGTCCCTGAGGTCCCTTCCAGCCAAACCTGCAGAAGGAACGTCCCGGGGGAGGAGAGGCCGTCGATGGACAAGGGGAGGGAAGGGCAGGAGCCTGCTAGAGCTGCCGTCACAAAGCATCGCGGGATGAGTGTCTTAAACATGGAAATTACTTCCACGCCGTCCCGGAGGCTAGAAGTCCAAGATCGAGGTGTCAGCAGAGTCAGACTCCTCTGAGGCTTCTCAAGGATCTCGGCTTGCCGACATCCTCACCTGGCCTTCCCTCTGTGTGTGTCTGCATCCTCATCTCCTCTTCTTAAAAGGACACCAGTCTGAAGGGTTTAGGGCCCACCCCAGTGACCTCATTTTAACTACAAAGATGCTGTCTCCAAATACAGTCCCATTCTGAGGTCTTATGACTTCAGGGGGGACACAGCTCAGTCGATAACAGAAAACAAGGCTATCAGTCGAGCCTGATGCTGCCTGCAGCCATGTCTCAGGAAACGCCCCCATGTGGGAGAGAAGAGGTCCGTGGCTGCCCATATCACCCGCATCCATCTGCCCACTGATGGGGCTTGCAGGAGCAGCTCAGGGCTTTGGCACGGCCAGGACCCTTCTCTCCCGAGCCTGGGAAGAGCCAGAGGAAGATGGGGCGGACTCTCCAGGGGACAGGAAAACATGGGTGAATACGTGGCTCTGAATACTTATTACAGGAGGAGGCACCTGCCTTTTCTCTAGAAGAAGGGAGAGCCCGAGTCCGAGCAGGATGGCAGCCAGCCCAGGGGCCCCCCTCACTGCCCACACGTGGTCCCCGGACAACACTGCCCATGCAGGAATGCCACACCCCGGGAACCTGCCCTGGCAGACGGTCTGGCAGCTGCTCCCAGAATCCACTCTTGGGGAGAGGGACGCATCGGGCCGAGTGGTGACCACAGCTGGTCAAACCCTCGGTCTGCTCTCTGTCCTCAGCCCCCTCCTCCTCCTCTATCCCTCCCCCTGGTTCCTCCTCCCTCCTGGCTGGACCCTTCAGAATCCTGTCCTGGCCCCTCCTCTGACCCCTGACCACGTCCCACCGAGGCCCTGTCCCCAGACCTCTTCTCTCTACAGAGTGAGTGAAAGTCGCTCAATCGTCTCCCACTCTTTGCGACCCCATGGGTTATACAGTCCATGGAATTCTCCAGGTCAGAATACAGGAGTGGGTAGCCTTTCCCTTTTCCAGGGGATCTTCCCAAGCCAGGGATCGAACCCAGGTCTCCGGCATTACAGGTGGATTCTTTACCAGCTGAGCCACAATGGAAGCCCAAGAATATTGGAGTGGGGAGCCTATCCCTTCTCCAGCAGATCTTCCCGATCCAGGGATGGAAGCCAGGTCTCTCACATTGCAGGCGGCTTCTTTACCAAGCCCAGAAATCAGGTTTTGGCCTTGACATTCAGCCCATGTCAAGTTTCAGCTTTCTGTCTTTGGAAAGCAAGGAGCTCAGTACCTCCATCATTGTTGCAGCTGGCAGCCCTGGGCCCCAGGGTTATGTGAGCCCGTTGGTTACTACAGAACCTCATCAGTGCAACAGCATCATTAACACGACCCGGCAAGACCTTGTGAAGTTCCATTAGTATCTGGATAGTCTCCTCCATTGTTCTCTTCTTCAAACAAAATGGTATATGTCAAGCCACTCGACACACAGAGAGATTTTAGAGCTGCCTTATCAAGGAGTACTTATGCAAGACAGTCAGACAGGACGGAACTGCAGCTACTTCGGAATAAAAAGGCTGCCAGAGCCAATGCCGACCTCTTGTCATACATTACAGATAACAAAATGGACGCAGCAGGACTCACGGACAACCACAGCCACTTCGGAGCAAGTCCTTTATTTGCTGAGACCAACTGCAGAGGGGACCCAAAGGGTGTGCCTTGAGCAGACGAGGACTTCTTACAGGTTACCTGCTCTCAGATGCGGCTGTGGCCCTACTCCAGGGAGGGTGCTGGCATCCTTTACCGGCATCTACGGCTGAGATGCAGAGGCACTTTGACAGCCAGACTCCCAGGATCACATCACTAGATCTAAGGCTTGGGGACAAAATTTTTTCAAGTGGCTGGGTGAGTGAAGCCATGGCTGCATGCAAAAAGAATCAGAAATAAAAGAGTGAGTAGGCACCACACTTTTATGTTTGCCTCTGAAAATATTAGAAAGTATCTCCTTTGGGCAGTGAATAAAGCAGCGGTTCAAAGGACTATTTCAATAAAGCAGCAGCATCACCAAGTCTTCCACCAATAAAGCAGCAGCCAAGTCTTCAAGTCCAGGAGTCGGGGGGAAGCTAGGGCTTTACATAGAGAAGGGAGGAAGGAAGCTGATGACCCCGGGCAGCTTCACCACCAGTACGATCCTTGTGCAGTCAGCCCAAGACCCACGCCCTCCTCCGTCCTTCTCTGCTGAAAGTAACCGTCTATCATCACAAGTGTCCATTTCAACAGCCTCGAGAGCAATCTAGAACCCGACAGCCCTGAGAACCGCTGTACTGACGATACAATATGAAACAACAAAGCTCCAACCAACAATTCTAATCATCAAATTGTGACACTGACTAAACAATCTTGACAACATTTCAGATTTGCTCTTACACCAAAGAAGTTCATTCTAAGATGTGGGCTCTCTGCTTAGCCAAACAGAGGTTTAATTCTTGGTGCGGGGTGTTCAGCCAAACACTGAATTGGACACTCCCTGCGGGTGGGGCCACCTGGTCCCATAGTATCAACCATCTCTGCCCTGCCCGCCTCCAGCCTCTCCCCACAGCTGGCCTGGGCAGGATGGGCATCTCAGCCAGGGCAGAGGGCACACTGGCCTCCCTATCCCCGCTCCCCTCACTACTCCCGAGGGCCTTCTCATTCACTGGTTGCTCAGGCCACAATCCTGGCCATCAGCATCTTGCCTCTGGCAGCTTTAACCTCCAAAATATCCTCCGCTTTCATCCCACACCGAGCCACCCCATTCAATGCCCAGGGAGCTGTGACGGCGCTCCGACTGATGCCCCCCATCTCCCCCTCCTGACCCTGCTCCCTGCTGTTCTGCACCCAGAAGCCCAAGCGACCTTTTAAAGCACAAACTCCGATCTCATCACGGCCCTGCTCACATCCTCCGGCGGCTTCCTGCCATGTGTGATAAAAGCCTCTGTTCCCCAGGGCACGTGGTCTGTCCACTGCCGCCTCCTGCAGCCTCCTTCCGCTGCTCTTTAAACACTACAAACTCCTTCTCTCTTCAGAGTCGCGGCCTGGAAGTTTCTTTCCTTGCCAACTGGTGCAGAAGTCGGCTGGGATGTCAGCCCCCCTGGGGGCTGCCCCTGACCGCCCAGTCCCTCCAGCCCTGCCAGCTCTGCCCCCTGTAAAACTCCCCAATTCTCTCCACAGCACTGGGCTCTCTCTCTCTCTCTCTCTCTCCCTCTCTCTCTGTTGTGGCCACACCGTGCGGCTGGTGGGATCTTAGTTCCCAGACCAGGGATGGGACCCACACGCCCTGCATCGGAAACACGGAGCCCTAATGAGTGAACTTCCAGGGATGTCCCAGGCGTTCTCCTAGATTTGTGTTTTAGGTTGAACCACCTCACAACAGTTCTCTCTCTTCCCTCTGGCAGAACGGGCATTGGTGGTGGGGCATGGGGACCTTCCTCTCTCATCACCACTGAGTCTCCACACCCGCCACCCTGTGGGTGAAAGGGTGTTCGTTCAGCAAACGAAGGAACCAGAAAAAACACAGCTTCTCCTTCCTCACGTGCTTCCCAAGGACTAACTGAACAAGGACAATGTCACATCCTCAGAGCCGGGGACGTGACATGGTCCCTCCCCTTCCCGGGCTCCCCCGAGATCACACCGTCTGTAAGTACTGCCGTGCCGAGTGCGCAAACCAGCCCGCGGGGACAAGGCTCGAGGAAGGACGTAGAGGCTGAGCCGAGCCCACGACCGGGGCAGCTGCAGAGGCTGCGTCCTGCGGGTCCGGGGTCAGCCCCTCCCCATCGGTCTGCTGTCCCTCAGTATCTCTCCCACCAAAAGCACCCCCTAAATCCCAGGTGCTGGACTCAGACCCCACCCCTGCCCCCAGCACATGCCTGCGGAGCAAAACACGACCCCCACCCCAATGCTGGCCCCACTGGAAGGAGGGCCCCTTCAGCTGGTCTGCGGGGAGACCCCTGCGCAGGACGGCACGTGTCTGTGGGTCGCTAAAGGGCAAGGAGTGTGAGCAGAGTGTGAGCAGGTCTGCACCCTCCAGGGCCGGGAGGGGCCACCAGGAGACGAGTTACCCCAACGGGCAAGGGGACATGGAGTCCTCCAGGCCACCCTCACAGGGACCCGAGAGAGGGGACCTGGAGCCCAATCGAAGCTGAGGCCCAGGGGTTCGCCACTGGGAGCCGAGGGCTCAGGCCCACGGCTTACGGACAAGTGACCGATGTCGCCACATAGAGCATAGCATGGCCCAGCTCCGGGGCCGCCCCTCCCGGGGACTCACCCAGCAGCTTCTGCAGCACCTGCCCATCATACAGGTCCTCCTCCAGCTGCTTCACGATGATCCTCTCCTCCACCAGCACGTCGTTGATCCAGTCGATGAGGACCTGTGGGAGGACAGGCATTATGGCCTCGCTCACCGGTGCCTGGAGAACCAGGCGGTGACCAGAGCGCGTGCAGAGGGGGCAACGCCCCCAGGGCAGGGGCCGGGCGAGTCCCAGGGGAGAGGCAAGCTGCTCTCCGAACGCCCGCCCCCCGGACTGCCAGGGGTCCCGTGGGATTCACAGGGGCCGGGCGGAGCGGGGCACCCGGGGGAAACTGCCTGCCTCCTGGAGGGGGACTTGAGTGCGTGCGAAAACTCAGCCAAAGGAGATGATGGTGTTCACCACAACATGGGAGGCGAGGGGAGCAAATGAGGAAACATCAGTAACACAGCCCCCTCCACTCCCCGCCATGGCACAAGGCAGGACAGTGAGCAGTAAAATGTCCACACCTGTTCTGCTCTTAACATCCGCATCAAAACCACGTGAACCTAAAGCTACACAGAGAAGGGGATCCCGAGTGGCCGCTACTTACGGCTCTGAGAACTGGCTTCCAGGGGCACACTACTTTTCTAAGGCTTTACGGAGATGGAATCCATGCTCCACACAACGCACCCTTCTAAACGTGCGATTCGGCGGTTGTCAGGAGACTCACAAAGTTGTACAACGGTCACATCACTCTCAGAAGGACAGTTTCATCCAAAGGAAACCCCGTACCGTCAGCACTCATTCCTCATTCCGCACACCCCGACCTGCTCCTCCCAACCACAAAACTATTCTCTCAAGGGTTTTGCCTGTTCTGGATGCTTCATATGAATGGGAACCGCATCATACGTGATCTTTCATGTCGGGCTTCTCTCCCTCGCTGTTGCTGCTGCTAAGTCGCTTCAGTCGTGCCCAACTCTGTGCGACCCCATGGACAGCAGCCCACCAGGCTCCTCCGTCCCTGGGATTCTCCAGGCAAGAACACTGGAGTGGGTTGCCATTTCCTTCTTTCCCTTAGCACGATGTTTTCAAGGTTCACTCGCGTTGTGGCACATGCCAGGCGCTCGCTCCTTCTTACAGCTGAGTCACAGTCCCTTGCACAGAGAGACACACTTTCCGGATTCATTCACCAGGTGATGGAGATTCGGGTTGTTGCCCCTTTGGGCCTGGTGTCAGCTGAGCTACAATGAACACGGGTGTGCAAGCTTTACGTGGACACACGTGTTCATTTCTCTAGACCAGCCTTTTCTCAACAAGTTTGCCTTCAATTCAGCAAGTTTAATATATCGTAAAAGAAGACAATTTCAATTGTGAGGATATCTATGGAGACACAGGATTCTCACTGAACAGAATCTCATTTGGCCGACACTGCTTAAGGCGCTTCTCCTCAAAATGAAAGCGATGCCCTGAACAGACTTGATCAAAAATATATGTAGTCCGCGGCTTCCCTGTGGAGCAAAACCAATAAAACTGTCTAATTGGTCCCAATGACCTCCTGGAGATGGGCATTGATTGGTCCTCTCGGAGATAAACGAAAAGGACACAAATCCAGCCTAGAGTGTCCTCTGTCACCCTCTGATACCATGCCATCTGCAAAACCGGCCACAAAGCAAATTTCTGTGGAGTATGTTCTATTTTCCCTCACTCGGAAATATTAAATCAGACACACAATCCCATGAATAGAAGTAAGTGTAAATTAAAGGGAGGACGGGAGGAAGAAAGAGGTGAGCAGGCCCACGGCATCCTGGTTCTGCCGAAGCCACCCCAGCAGGGTGGGTGGGGGGCAGGTGGCCCCACGCTGCAGCCCTCCTCTGTCCGTATTCTTCAGGGAGGGAGCATCAGTCCGGGAGCCGGACGTCCCCGCCCAGCGGCCTTCTCTCCCAGCCTCCAGCATCCTTCTCCCATCACGCAGCTCCCACCTCCTCTTTGACCACCTTCTCAGTCAGTGTCCTTGCGTACATGTGTGTGTGTGTGTGTTTGGGGGGGGTCCCCATGACACCTTCCCCTCCTCCGAATCTTCAAAGGAAATCGCCTTGGACAGCTCCTCTCCACTCTCCTCCAAGGCCGGTTCATGCCATTCCGTGACGTCCAATGCCTCTCTCCTGGTCCCAGTAACCCCCTAACGGTCCAGCCCCATCTCTGCCCCATCCTCCTGCTAGCGCGTTTCATAAGCATCTCTGTCTGAACGTGCTGCCCGTCCCCACTGACTCCCAAATCTCCTCCTTATCTGAGAAGCAAACAGGATACCATTCTCCAGCTTCAGGAGCCTGGATTCCACCCCTTCATCCCTTCATCCCATTTCCTGACTGCATCCACTTCCCATCATCTCCTCTCCCACCGCCCTCATCCAAACCACCTCCCCGGGCCATTGCCACAGCCCCGCCGGCCAAGCACGCTGCCTCCTCGCTGGTGCTCTTCAGATCCCCAAGCTCCTCTCTGCCCCGGGCTTTTGCACGTGCTAATCCTGGCAGCCTGAATGCACCTCCTCCCGCCTCCATCACTGTCTGGCCACTCTCACTCATCCATCAGGTCTCAAGCTCCGTTATAATCCTCTGAGCATCCCCCCACACCCCACCCAGGCCACATTCCCCAACATGGCTCCCGCTGCACTCAAGGGCCTTTCCCCAAACCTGTTCACGTTTGCAGTGAGAACACAACTTCATTTGTGACTATCTGCCTGCTGACTTGAAGCTCCGTGAGGGCAGAAACTGTGACCTCTTGTGTGTGGCTCTGCCTCCAGCACCCAGCGCTCACCACCTGGCACTGAGTTCACTGGTTAACTTACTGAGCACCTACTGTGTGCCGGGCTCTGGGAATGAATAAGGTGAGGACTTTATCCTTGAGGATCTTACCTTCCAATCAGACATTAAAAGACAAACAAATGCACATGTCGAGTTATGATTGATGTTATGGAGAAAAATAAGTCAGAACAGTGTGTTAGCCATTCAGTCGTGAGTGAGTCTTTGCGACCCCACAGACTGTAGCCTGCCCGGCTCCTCTGTCCATGAACTTCTCCAGGCAAAAATACTGGAGTGGGTTGCTATTTCCTTCTCCAGGGGATCTTCCTGACCCAGGGATCGAACCCAGATCTCCCACACTGGGGGCAGATTCTTTACCCTCTAACCCACCAGGGAAGCATGGGTGGCGCAGAGGTAAAGAGTCTACCTGCCAACGTAGGAGACTCGAGAGACGCAAGTTCGATTCCTGGGTCAGGAAATGGCAACCCACCCCAATACTCTTGCCTAGAGAATTCCATGGACAGAGGAGCTGGCAAGGCTACAGCCCATGGGCTTGCGAAGGGTTGGAGGCGGCTGAGCACACACACACACAAGTCAGGATACAGTGGAGAAGCCTAACAGGCACAGCTCGGCCAGGTGACCAAGGTCAACATTACAGGATCAGTCATGTTGTCACACGTGTCCTGGTGGGATGAGATGACGGAACTTCACCTCTGTGGTCTCCCGCCCCAAACCCACGACTCTGAGAAAAACATCAGACTAAACCTAATAGGAAGACATCCTCCAAAACCCATGCCCAGCCCTCCTCAAAACCAACACGGTCATCCAAAACAAGGCAAGTCTAAGAAACTGTCACTCCCAGAGGAGCTAAGGAGACAGAATGACTAACGCCATGTGGGATCCTAGATAGGACCAGAAAAAGTACATCTGCTAAACCCTAAGGAAACTGGAATAAATGGTGGGCATTAGTTAATAATGTATTCATGCTGGTTCATTAATATAACAAATGCACCATGTTGATCTAAGATGTTAATAACGGGGGTAAATTGGGTGTGGAAATACGGGGACTCTTGCACCATCTTTGCTATTTTTCTATAAATTGAAAACGGTTCTAAAAATTTGTCTGTTGAAAAAATCAGGCAGAGTTTGGGGCTAGAGAGGGCAGACGGTGGCATCGCCAACTCAGTGGACGTGAGTGTGAGCAAACACTGAGAGACGAAGGACAGGGAGCCTGGCGTGCGGCAGTCCATGGGGTCGCAGAGAGTAGGACACGACTCTGTGGCTGAACAACAGCAGCATCGGAGCCAAGCAGTCACATTAGACCAGCTCAAGGGCCGACACTGAGGACCTTTCTGTGCCAGGCCGTGGGGGCAAGGGAGGCTCAACTTGCCCCCTCCTCACTCCGGGAGTGCAGGTCCAGCCGGGGGACAGAGAGAGACGAAGAGTGGGCACCAGGCATCATGCAGAAGCCGGACCTGAGGGGTCACAGGGCCCCGGGATCGGAGGCAGCAGCATTCACGGGCGGGATAGGAGATGGCTGCAAGAAAGTGGGCGCCCGGGGTGGGGGCCGGGAGCAGGCAGGCCTGGTATGGGGGGTGGCAAGATCCCAGCCACAGAGGAGCGATCCTCTGTCGCAGCGTGGACCCAGCAGGGAAGTCAGGAGGGGCTGGAGCCCACGGAGAGGCTGCCAAACATCCTCCACGCTGGGCCGGAGTCCCAGACAACCATAGCTTGGCCACGCTGCCGTGGACCAGGGGCACAATTCCAAACACCACGCTTTTCACCCCAAGACCCCGAGACCTGGCAGGTCACCGGCGGTGGCTCTCAGAGGCTGAATACCCAGCGTCCAGACCCCCAAACCCGACTCCCACCACCACGGACCCAAGACTGTTACGTCTATGCATCCACGGGGCCTTTTCTGGCCACTTAATGAGATTTCATTGGTTCGTAGTTTTTTTTGCAAAGTATATGATTTAAGTTTAAGGCATAAAAGTAAGTGGAGGCCTAGGGGTCCTAACCCCCTTCTGGTCTTCGAAGCCCCCCTTCCAGCTTCACTCCGGTCAGCACTCCCCCAGAGGCTCCCCCAGCTCTCCCAGCTCTCCCAGCTTCTCACCTGCCGGCCCTCTGCTTGAGCAGCTTTCCCTTCCTCCTGACCACCCTGCCCTTCCTTGGGCCCTTACCGCTGCCACGAGGGGCTGGCCCTTGACCCTCAGAGAGACTGGGAGCCCCCTGGGCCCAGGGAGCCCCATCTGCTGTCTCACACCCCTGCCCCCACAGCACCCAGCAGAGCCCGACAGATGCTCTAAATACCAGCTGTGTGTGTGTGTGCCTGCTCACTCACTC